ATTCCTTCTGATGTTGTCATTTATACGGTAAGAACTTGCTTGACGTTAAATTTTTAAGGGGCTCACTATCTAATAAAATAAGCAGTTGCCTGTAGAATTCAGAGTTAACTCGGTGGCCACTTTGTGGATATTTTATGTGCATGAGTGTTCTGTAACTATTAACACGGCAGTTGCTGATTTGTCTACCGTTGAAGTAATCTGTTTTATGCAAGCGGCATCATGCAGGCTATTTATTTTTCTGTCAGCTCTAGAGTTAGTTTTTCGCTCATAAATAAAACACTTGTCGTGGTTTCGTGACCCTGAATTTCTTCGGCATTCTATAATTGTTAAATATTCTTCCTTGTCAATATGGGCCATGTCGTATAGATGTAATAAAGGGAGTTCCTTTTGAGGTTCGTAAGTGGAGCGCAGAATCGGTTCCCGCCTCTCAATCTCAAAATCACTCGACAGCTTTCTTCACAGAAGCTCTTTTTAATCCGCAAAACCACTATTTTCGGAATTCAGGTTATGCTTTGATAAACAATTGCAACTTCAGAACTTTCAGATGTCTCATGTGGTACACACTAACCTCTTTGGGCCCTTGGATAACTCGGAGATTGTAGTGATATTTACGTGAACACCGACGAAGTCTACAGGACGTGTGCTAGTACCGGCTGTTCTGGGAGTGAAGTGTGCATTTTGCTAACTTATTGCGTTCCTTCAGCAAAAAACATTAGCTAGAAATGGCACCATAAGTCGATCTTAGTTTAGACAACTGTTGTTGTCTGGTATTTTAGTGAAGAACTGTTACGTGGGTTCAATTAGGGCCACAGGAATATCGATTAGTGTGGTCGGCTTCGCCTTGTCAATCGATTTTTAAACTTTCCCACGCTGACTTTTCCGTGTCAATTGCAGTCCAAACTCGTGGAGTTATTTTGTGTGTCAACATTTTACGTGTTTTAACTGCACGGTGGCGCAGAATACTTCCATTATTTGGTTCGGAGTAGCATGAATTGTATTTAAAGTACCTCTAATTCCAAAATTTGTCTTTCGTGGCAATGCAAAAGTACCTACCGGACTCTGAGACAAGAAACTGGGTCAACTCTTTCTTGGACACTTTACATTTAACGGTTGTGTGTTGTTAAAAGAGTGTTCGTGTCCTCGTTTCATCGTGCTTTACCTAAGGCTCCAATAGAAATGTGTGTTTCCTAAGTGCTATGGCCTCAGGAGTCCTCCGCGTGTTGTCAGTTAGAATAGGTCTACCCTCGTCCCGTCGTATAACTTCCTTGCAGCAGTATTTTATCCATTAAAACACATCCACTTAGCGAAAATGCGTTGGCTTTAAGGCGCGCGTGTGAAATTTTTGGCCGTAAATTCTCTTTGGGCTTAAAGACGGCAAAGTCACCCTACATGCCATCTTGTGCTATTGGTAGCCATAATTTCGGTAAAAATGGCCCTGCCGCGTTATTCTCCTGCGAGAGGATCAGGTTTTTTATTTCATAAATAACCTCCTGTTTGTCGACAAGCTGTGTAAATACCTCGTGCAGGGGGCTTCAATAAAATGCCAAATTTCTCAGCTATGAATTTGGACGTCATCATTAATGCCAGCCTAGTTCATTACGCACTGTTAAACTGCGCCATTGCGAGCATGGATCGACAAATATTCCGGTTCGTGAAAATAACTGTGATAGAGTTACGGGCTACTCTCCTCTATCTGCCTCATTACTTACGAAAATAGTTATTTAGTTCGTTGTTATAGAGATCACGCGTTAATCGTGTCTGAAGAAGATACCTCTTAACCGACGAACACACTTTACGGCCAGATCGCTGCATCAGACGAGCCCAAGGGGGATAGAATGAAGGCGAAAGCTTGCCTGCTGGCGTTTCCTTCGCGGTGACTAACTTTGGCGCCTTCGTGTTGATTAAAACTAACCAATTAACGTCCAAGTGTCCAATCAGGTTGCAACATTTAACCCGCACACGGGTTTTGACCACCCTGAGGGAAAGCTGACACGAACATGGCGCCTCAATACCTCCACATTGATTCAGGAGTCCTCAAGAAGCTGCTGACCTGAATTGAGCCTGGTTGTAAATCCGTCATTGTGTTTGCAGAAAAGCATGTTACTAGTGGATCTGCCACACGCAAGCCGCTGCGTAAGCATGCGCACCTGGGCAGACTCCAAGTTTTATTATTTGGTTGTCCGGTAACGCAACATTAATTAGCAATAACTTTGTTCTGGAGTCGAAAATGTCTGCAACTAAATCAGTTATTAACACGTTAAAACTAACATGGACGTAATTGGAGGTTTTTTGTTCTGGGCCAACTTTTAAAGATGGTCGGGTTTTGTCTCCACGCAAATCCGTTTTTTAGTAATGGAGAATGCCCTTTTGCTAGATGGCACTTGAGGTGACAGTTTAAGTGACCCAATCACGAAAGCCATTCATCTGTGATTCACTGGCTATGTGCTTGGCTCTCTTCACTACAATGAAGTCACACCTCTCGCAGGTGCCTTACACCCTCAACGACCTAACCTGCACATCTTGAAATTATTCCTTAGCTGCCATTCATCGTAACTTATAAGCTCCGTCAACGTCCAGTGCACTAGGCTGCCTTGTTCGACGTATCGCAGGACCCGCACAGTTGGTAGGCCGAAACAAGGCTGTAATTACTTCAATGAAAACCAATTCACCACACACACACACCGATAAACAGTACCAACTCTGCCATAAACCTGGGGTATCTGCGTTGTTTATCAACACCTACACATCAGTGCTCCCTTTCGTTCGCCGTTGGACATCCTGCTTTTATCAATACATTTAGATGGCGAGTTGTATAAAGTTTGCTCACTTTTTACGATAATTGGTCTGTTTCAATGAATTCAAATAAAAGTGCCGTCAATAACGGAGTTCACTTCGATCCTTACAAGCACGTTGAGCGTTAGGGATGAGCGGTTAAAAATACTGGAGAAATTTGGCCGCTGGTAGGCCTATTGAGTTTGGTTGAAACTAAACTCTGGAACAGGAAACTACTCTTATTGATTAACAGCAAATACTATCATTTGATTAGTTTTGGTGCCACGCAGGCCAACGTTTGATAGCCTGTGTTTACCGTGACGAATTTGAGTAATTCGTCGCCGTCATCGTGATTTCTGCGATTGGGCGTGGTCGAACCTCAAATTGGTGGTCATTATTGACTCGACCACTTGGGATTTGGGGAAAACATGCTTTCTGCGTGTTCTTCCCGGCACTTGATCTGAATATTGCGTGGGCTTAACATTATCTCGCGCTGATTCTGGCCCTTCCTGTGTGCATCAATTAATCTATTGTCAAGACTGGGCAATTTCGCTAAACATCCACCGGAGTGTCCGCCATTCCTATCAAGTCAGCATTCGTGTGCCGAAAGTTCTAATTCTTTGCTTTGCCGGCCTTGTGCTTGCTATTCAGCTCTGATCCTTTATCGTTTTATGCGTTGTTACAACCACGTAATCTGTTAGAATTCTCTATTTCGCAAATTCTCTCTGATACTCACGCAAATATTTCAATTTCAAATCAACTTACTTCTTCATTCTCAACGTTGAATTCCGAAATGCAGTTGAACCTTTTAATCATTTTCCGGATTTTTCTCTGTCTGTTTTGTGTGTCACCCAGCGGAGAGACAGCCTAGCGTTGAGGATGTGTTGTTTTAAATTACGTAGTTACTGTGTAGCGCTGTATTTTTTACACCAGGCTCTCAACATCGTCCATGGATTGACTGAAGTTCGATTCGCAGATTCCATGTGCTTTCCCGTATGCGCTGCCATTTACGTCTTCTCCCCCCAAGATATTTACCTCGTGTTGATGTCAAAACCTCTAAGTGCCGCCATCTAAGCACCCAAGTGCCTGGTGTTGAGAAAGCTTATTTCTAAGCCTCCGTGATTGATCTGGCGTTCATTTGCTTTAGTTTGAGCAGCCCCTGGTAAGGTATCCGGGAGAGTTGGTCGGCTCGTGATTGGTTAGTCATGTCCACATCCATGCAGTATCAAAACGAGACCTCGGGATTAATCGGAATCTGTTTTAAAGGCGAGGCCTTCTACCGATTGTGCCTGTTCACTCTGCGCACACAAGAGGTCTCTGTGGTCAAAAATGTCATGATCCATATGCAGGCTGGGTAGCTGGTTGCCACCCGCAGCGCTCACCACCGTTCTCCCTCTATTCTGCGCAGTTGTTTGTTCCGTTTAACGCCGAGAGCATGTCCCAGTTACACTAAACTAAACAATAGTGTGTCTTTACTGCGAATTCGCGTGTTTGTTATCTTTTAATCGGCGACAGTCACTTAGGTGTCTGCTCCGTTCGAAGACACCTCGCCTCGAGTTGGCTCACTCGCGTATCCAGGACCTCGGTGTCTCCGCTTCACTTGGCTTTTAGGCCACGCGGGTTCAAAGGGCGTTCTTAGCCGTGTTGTCAAACCCACGACGCTTGCCTAATGCTTTTCTACCCGTGTGTACCCATCGCTTGCTAAGCTAAAAAATTTTCCAGAATAAATGCATACCCTGTTCCTGTCGCACTGTCTTCTAGTCATGTTCACCTGTACTTTTTTCTCTCCCAAATAAATTTCGCCTGTACTTGGCACCTACAATAACTCCAGCCATAACTCCAAGTAATTCTTAAAGCTGGTTTTGGCAGGACATGTTCTTCTTCCCGAGTCGTGCGATGAATCCTGCCTTATTCAAATCAAGCCATGTAAATCATTCTTACCCAAGAAGCCGTTGATTTAAATACAAGTCACCTTCTGACAACAGGTTTTGTAATGACGCGTGGTCTTTGGCGTAACTTTAACACCTCTTGCAAAGTGCTTTCCCACACAGCATACGGGAATAACAGGGTCATGGTTGTGTGAAATGTTTAACTTTTCTGTCGTCTACTCTGTGGCTCCACACTTTATATTACCCCATAAATAATCCCGCAAAGTGCCATTGGCACAAGTCACGCGGCTCGCGTTTGTGACGCCTCTTATTTAAAACCTCCAGGTTTGCGAAATTTGCTCAAGGGTTCCCCTGGTGGAGGCAGAACCAGCAGGTCGTCAGGAGGGGCGACGAAGCACCGCCTGGGAGGTCACTTGCATCCGCTTCTGACACACCACCACCGAGCGCCCAAGCCACCGGATGGAACCCGCCGCGTAACGTCTTCCCCGCAAATGTCCTGTGACGAGACGCCGCACCTGCCACGGTTAGTTTGCTGGTTCTCCTTCTACGCTCAGGTGGTGTTGTTTTTCGATTTGTGTGCTTGGAGGTTACACGGTGTGTGCGATTTTCGAGACTAGGTGACTACAAACTCTCCTCTCCCCCTCCTAGGAAATGGGCTTTTCTTTGGGTTCAAACTAGTATGTTGCATGTTAGTTCCTTGTTTTCCTGTCAAATAACTGACTTTGAAGACAAAGCCTGTCGTGTGAACCTGTTTTAAACGTGCGAGGAAATTCCTCTCTTTTTTTCATATAAAGTTAATTTCTACAGCTCGCTTGTCAAATCTGAATTTCTGTCAAAAGAATCCATTGGCTTCTTTTTTTATTTCGCGCCTTATCTTGTCACTTTGGGTCCTGCCGTGCTCCAAATTGAAAGACCTGCTGTCCTCTCTACACGAGGTGTGTCGCTCCGTTAACAAACAACCAACTTTAGACTTGTCATTTTCCACATTCTAGTTTTCCAATTTCACCCTAATTACACCCTTTTTCGTCACTATTAAATACGTCTCTGTAAGACGCGAATCATCAGTAAGTTTGATTTTCTTGCGAAACGAGGATTGAGGCCCTTTGGATTTTTTGCTACCCGTGAGGAAGCGAATAGCGCATTTGCCATCTTGGCAGTAGCTTGTGTCGCGTTTGGTCGCATCTGGGCAGACTGAACCCCGCCCCCCTCCCTGACCACGAAGGTCGGTGTTTGTAGCCCGCAGCCCCTGTGTCACGTACCTGCTCCCGCGACCTTTCGATTGATCACCCACGTGCAACGCAGGCTGGTTGCGATTGTTGTGGTTCAGAAACGCCTTGCAAGTATCGCACTCGAGCGGACGCTTTCGCATCCCAGTGTGGCGTGTATTACACGTCCCACTTGTCTTTCCATTGCGCGGAATAAGAAATGCTGATGCAGCCGCACTGACGCATTCACGATTAGTAACACACGAAGGCCTACAAGTACAACTGCATTCTTCACGGTGGAAAATTATATCACTTTAGGTTTTTCGTGCTGCCTTCCTTTGCACTGCGTGTGTGCGTGTGTGTGTGCTCGCGTGTGTTGGAGACTTCGGTTGCAGCCAATATCGTCATGTTGCGGTGCAAACTTGGGTTTTAACCTTTGATCTGTAAACTACGGTACACGGTAACGCCTGGCTATGATGACTAATTGTAAGTTCACGATTCCATACACTCTCACACCGCCACGTTAGCGCGAGTTTTTCGCGCTGTGAACTGGAATTGTCATATATAAATCACGCCGTGGTGCATCTTGCAGTATTGTCGTGTTTTTCGGCAGGACTGTAAATCTGATACGTCACGTGAATAGGACGTCACCTTATTTTAGTGCATGTATAGCTAACACGCGGATTTGACAGCACCCGGTTCTTCTTGTTTACGCATGTCGTATAGCCGTTGGTAGGGAGCTTTGACTTCTCTACATAAATTATCTTGCTAGATGGAGGTCGCTTCGCCAACGTATGCTTGACTACCTCTTTTCACGCATCTTTTTCTTTTCTGCTTATTCCACTTGCAATTTCACCACCTGTCGCTCGAGGTCTTTTGGCACCCTGCATTTCACAACCGTTTGCATTTATTTGGCAATGCGACCGCTGTACCCCGGTGCCATAAAATGACACCTTTTTCAGTGTTGTACCACCCAGGTGTGGAGGAGGCTGGGATGCAGGCAAGTTTTTTTTGTTTAAACACAGCAGTGACCCAGTCGACTTGGTCGTAGGCCCCAGTAGATGCGCACATGCAGCACTGCCACGTGGCGGTAAGTCAACAACAGCGAATACTCACACCTTACCTGCGAAATAGGGGTTAGCCTTAATTTGGGCGGGTATCGTTACACAACATCCTTACACGGGGTGTGCAACACTGTCACAACACCTTCCCCTTTGCCAACACCGTGCTTGTTTCAAGATCATTCGAATGTGCTGATTGGGCGTGCATTGAAGGAAAAAGCGCGGCATCGAACAAAATCCGTTCCACTGTTCGCCCTTGCAGGGCGCCACCTTGGCGATGTTAGTTACGCGTAGCGTTTGCGTCTGGGTGGTGATTGTAGCTGTTGACTCATCCGCGGTTCGCACCCGTCACCCACAATTTTGTTCGTGCACATGCGGGTGCACGAACACCTTTGTCCTGCCATCGCCTTTGCTTCGGCAGTCTCCGTGTAATCACACCGGGCGAAATGACCCAGTCGCTTTCTAGATAAGTCGGTACGAGGTCTGCTGTACGCTCGCTTTTTCGCCTCATTATTATTGTCATCGTTATCAGTTAGTGCCTTAATGACGGGCATGAACGACGCTGCCTCCTTTAACTATCCGTCCTCACTTCTACTCATGTTTGTGATTTTCCACCTATATGCCTGCTGAGTGTCTGTTTCCATCATTTTGTCGAAATGCTTCTACTTTTCGTGTTGCTTATAACCAGTTTGTTGTCATTTCCTTTCACTTCGAGCACCAATTCGTGGTGTTACCGCTTCCACATGAACCAGATGAATGTGTGCATGGCACGACTCGCAACGTAGAGCCAAATCCATTGGCGACCCCTTTGCCAATACCCAAGTCCCTCCTCGTACGTTTTCGCGGCGACCTGTGATGCCGTATCTGTCCACCAATGGTGTACATTAAACTATTTTGCACTTCCTTTGCTCCCACGATGACAGAGGACCACAGGTAGTGAATCTTTCTTAAACCGGATAGACGTAAGGCTTAGTCAAAATCATCGCGGATCTGACGCGCGTCCACATTCACACATTTTGTAATTCTCGTTCGCTAGTCTAACGGAATCGCCGGTCAAAGCCCATCGGAACTGTCAGCGTCTGTTTTATTCCAACCCGTAAACACACCTTGTCATGCAGACGCGCAGTGGTTTATTAAAGAGGTAGTCACTGTGAGATTCGTTCAAATGTATGACACTCCGTAAATTTGTTTATTTCAAAGTTTTTACCACGTCGGTTAAGGAAAGATCTGCCGCGTCAGGGGGCTGAGTATGACCCAGTTCATTCAAGCCAATCACAGCTTCGGGGAAAGACAAAATTCGATCACGGAGTTTCGCTCGTATCAAATCTAACCCAGGCTTTAGAGTTAAGTTTTCCATTCCTACGCTCCACATCTATAATTCGTCGGCTCTCGCATCAAGTGCTTGAAAATGTTCGTATGCAAACCAGCGTTTCGCACCTAAAGGCTCTTATCTGCTTACTTCTCACGATTCACCGTAGTTGGTATTTTAAATGCATGCAATTCATTAAAAATGCGGAACTAAGCGCACAGTGAATGGGCATTGTCAGATAACAATCTAAGCCATTTCTGCGAAGCCACAGGCCCTCACCGTCTGTCGTTTCGTGCACCCAGTTTAACCAGCCAGTCCATCCACGCAGTTCGTTTCGGCTGCGTAAACTGCACAGTGTAGCAGATGTGGTGTCATTTTTTTCGCCGTTTGTGATTTAGTACATTCATTACGAAGTGGTGTTTACGGAGGGTTTTGCGGTTTGCTTAATTGATTCCGCACGCCCATGTGTCAGCGGTGCTCACCCCACTCTCCCAAACCCCTTCTCGTGCTACTTCTTTTCCCCAAGCTTTTAGCAGTAACTCTCCGCCCTTGTATTCAGCTACGTCCCCTTGTAACTTTACTTGCTTCTGCATCAAAAAGTGCAACGCGTGAGCTCTGACAAACCACAAAAAATCGCGCATTTCGGTTTGGTTTGTAGTTGGTAAAACCGCCGTCTGTGCAACGCGCGAACGTTGCTGTTAGAACATTGTGCTGGTAGGTTCTCAGTCATTGCAGTCTCATCGAGTGATGATTAAGTACAGAATTGTGCCACCGCCCAAGGCTCACATAATCTTATACCCACCACGAAGGGCTTTTGTGGCTGTTTCGAAATTCTACGTTTTTATGCCACGGTCACTGTGGGATCGCTTCGCTCCCATCAGCGGTGTCACGTTTTGTGAAACAGAAATGATGGCGTCCGTTCGCAGTCGATCGGGTGCTCAACTTGTCGTGCGTGCTCCACTGTTCCATGTTTCACGCACTTGACCGACATTTTGTGCATTTTAGCCCCCACGGTTTCCAGACTAGTCCCGGAGGCGGAGGAGGAGGAGGTGGTGGTCCGTTGGGCTCTTCATTGCAGGTTAGTCTGTGGATTGGGCTGTCGTTGCTTCTGCCTTCGTTTTATCTTGTTTCGCTGAAAAAAAGTGATGTTGTGTTTTTCACGAGCTGGCACTTGATTGCCAAATCGTGTCTTTTTACTTCACCCCTCGCCTGATACAAATCACGGGGGTTAACCGGGACCCGAATCAAAAGTAAACGAAAAAAACTGTTCAAAGTTCTCACAAAAGCCAGAAGCACCGCCAATCATCACCACCGTGCCTGCATAAAAACGCACATCTTTGATTTTAGGCCTTGAAGGTAGAAAAAAACTGAGACCGCGTTTCCAGACATATTCACTCCCGATAATGTGAAAGGTTTCCGACGATTGGAACGAGTACTTTTACTAAAAAGTGGCTTGTGGTGTACTGCCCTACGCCATTCACTGGCAAGACCACATTAAGTCGGCAACTGGGTTGACGAATGACTGTGCTCCGAGCCAGTGCCACGTAGTCGGCCGTGCCATCAACTCGACTGAATGCAGCGATGAGGTATGCGCCTCCGCTGTGTAATTTGTTCGCCTGCAGCCAGTAGAATTACACGGAAATTTGCGTACATCTGCACTAAACCAACCTTAACTTGTTGTTGTTGCCCTTTTGTACTTTTTAAAGCCATGCTCGTTGGATTGTCGCGTTTTAACATTCAAAAAATGTGTTCGCTCAATTACGTCTCTCGGGAAAGTGTATTTATGCACTCGTTTTAATTTGCCTGTTACTTAGGGATTATCGGCGTGTCTGAATCGGTTCCAAAACTTGAGGTGGCTCAGATCGTGTGCAGGTTTTTTTCTTGAGAGCCGTTTTTTGCTGAACGAACAGGCTAATTAATTCGAGCGAACTGTGCGTTTGTTGCCAAACTCGGATAAAGCAGCGTGAAAGTGAATAACAAATTTAAGACGTGGCGACGAATGCCTGGAGCGACGATCAACGTTGTCGTCTAACAAAAACCGCAGTTTTACAAGAGTGGGGTCAGCAGAACGCTGTAATTTCATCAATTATCCCCATGGGACGCGTTGGTCACAGATGTGGTTGCTTAAAGTACCGATGAAAGGCCAGTTTTGGAGAGGGGTTGTGGCCGTCACGTTCATCTTATTGGTTGGCGCACAAACCGCTTCGCCTGCAACACATAACGAGTTTGGAAGCTGATTATTACCGTAAACGATGTGGAGGGCCCTGCGTTGTAGCGAACACAAACGCGCGGGACGGTAATCGAGAAGGCGTCGTTTTTTTTGTGTGTGCATTTTGCGTTGATTGGCGCAGTTTTGTCCGCCACAAGCTCCAAAAGTGAATCATCACGTCTCGGGCGAATTCGGATTAATCAAAATCAGTCAAAATTGTTAATGTGTTGTTGCTCCGATTACTTGTCCTGCAAATTTCTATTCCTGTCTGCTATTTGTTGTAGAGTAATGTAGTTTCGCAGAGAGAAGTATCGTCTTCTAAACATAGTTGTGTAGGCAACTGTTGCATTTTACCTTTACATGGCGGTAAATGACTCGGCCTGGGGAAAAACTAGTGTTTTTGAAATTCCTGGGACGTTTTCAATTGCATCGAGTCGCAGGCTGTTGGATGGTGACATTAGTCGGAATGCAGTAAAGGTGTATTACTGAAAGAAGCTTTGTTATTACATGTCATGGGGGACGATTAACTCAAGTCCCATTTTGTAAAGTGGTTTCGTAATTGTAATGAATCCGGAAACAATTACACAACCTGAGCATTTTCGACCCTTCAAATTTAGTAACCGTAAAAAAAAACAAACTTGTGGTGTGATGGCTTTCTTACGATATTTTATCTGGAATCCACCATTCCATTCCTTCAAGACGAACTGCTTCAAGCACTCAGTTTTCTGTGCACTGTGGATGGCTTGTTGTCCGGACATGTAGAGGGGAAGACAAATCCTAATTGGTTAGTATTTCTCTGTACCCCGGTGACATTGATGAAGTTGGATGCTTTCTGGGCTCGGGTTCGTGTTCCGCATCCCACCGCATATCTGTCCCAGACGTTTATCACCGCAGTGGACCCAAGTAGCTGGTTTTCATTTTTACTTCGCGGATCCTGGCGTTGTGTTACTCGTCATCAACAATTCCGTCTTGTTGGTCCCCCTTCCCATTGCTTTGGGGCTTAATTTTGGCGACCAAGGTCGATGCGTATCGACAAAATGGGGAAAATGTGTGAACTTTCAACTCGACCTTGCCCCCCTTGTCCGCACAGATTCGGTATGCCTTTTGGCTGACCGCATTCGTAGCGGTGGCTTAAATGGCGTGACTGAAAGAAGCGCAGACTGGACAACTGTCGGCCGCCAACTTTTTCTGGTGGGAGTTCAATCTCGGTTGATCGCTGAGATGTAATCACCAGTCCAAGTTCTGGACTATCGCCTTCATGTACGCTCTAAACCAAACTCAGGCTTCTTCTAATGTGCTAACCTCCGTCGGTCGCACACACGCTCTGTGAGCCAATGGGCTCTTCGAAACCAGTGAATTGGTTGGCCAGTGAAACGCCCCACTTGCCCTTTTTTCCGCTTCGTGGAGCTTTTGACAATTACAAGTCCCGTTTTTTTCCCTGCGTGCGCGCAAGTAACTCAAGCTAAGGTGAATCATTTCAATTTTGCCTCGCGCTGTCCGATAGCGTGTTCCCCGCATTTCCGACCTCCTTTTTGCCGTTTGTCTGACTCCTTCGTTTTTGATTTACTTGATGCGGCCGAAACCGCATGACATTGACCTGATTATCGCAGTGGTGTATGATGTCACTAAGGTAACCGCAATAAGTGCTTATTTAATTGCTCGAGTGGGTTGGCCTTGTTGAGAAGGTTCTTCATTAGTTGTTGAAAATGGTGCGAGATCTATTGGGTGGCCTATGTGCACTTTTGACTACATACGAATTGCATCTTATACCAAGGCGGTTCTTATTCCCACCATCTCCACCACGATCTTAGGTGTCATTGTACTCTTGTTTTGTGAGTAAAATCTAAGTCCCTTATTAACCAAGTAAAATCTTGCATTTGCCTTGTGGTAGTTCTACTTTAGATATTTAAGTAAACAGTCCTTTATCACTGTATTTGCAGGAGTGGTGCTCTAACAATTTGTTTCCACGTTAATTCTCGGCGGTGCTTAGGTAGGCGTGTACTTTCGGTCCGCCCTAACAAACCACCCATTGGCGTCATGTTGAACCTTAAATTTGCACATCGGCATGGGGATTCGTTTTGATGTTTTCTTTATCGCTTGTGATTTGGCATCTGTTGCACTTTACTTTTTGTGTGTTCATTGTCACATACTTCACGCCACCGTGAATGTGTGTTATTTATGAGTGTCTGCACTGTAATTACCGGCAAAGAAAATTTTCACGTTTATTTCACTGCCCGATCCATCACATCACCTGTCGTTAATTTGGTGGATGTTATTATCATTAAGAAGCACTGCACCTTTGACTTCCCAACACTATGTACAGCCGAGGTTTCTCTTGAAATATGGGAATAAAATTCACGTGTATTTTGCAAATAGCATCGCGAAACCCCTGCAGTCGTGGTTGTGTTTTTGCAGTTCGGTTTAAATTGTATGCTCTTCTCGAGGGGGTGATGCTGCTAGGTGGAAGACCAATTTCCGCCTTCACTTGCGAGATCGGAGTCACATGTGAGGACATCGTTTGCAGTAGAAAACGAACTCTCCTCGCATTAAGTCGTGCGGATTAATTTTAAGACTCGCGTGTGTGTCACGCGCGTCAACCAATAGGAAGTGTCGCACAGCCAAGGCTCTCTCGATTGGCCAATCAATCATCTGTTTAATTTCTGTTGCGTAGGCTGTTTTAAGTTGTGCTTAGTCACTCTTTTGTGAACCCTTCGTAATGGTCGGCTCAATAGAGCCGCATCGGCGTAGTCGATCCACTGCAGGGTTTACTTCCCTGCCTCAGAATGCACTTGTTCACGACTTGGAAGACGGCATTCGTCCTTGTCACTTCCACTTAACTTCCGACACTGACGAGGTGGAATTCGATGGCGCGCAGAACGAATTATCAGACACGGAGTCAAATGTGGGCGTAGAGGGCAATGATTCCGCGTTTTATGCCTCGGTATCGTCCTCTGAGTTTGTGCGCCAACTCATATCGGTGTTGTTTACTGGTTTGACCAAGCCCGAACCCCTGTTCATCGAGGCTCTTGTTAACGATCCACCTTATGGTTTTTTTTCCCGCCGTCCTTCCTCAATTGAAAACCAATGCTCCGACTCTCGTGGGGAACGCCGAAAATCTCGACTGTCAACGACGGTGCGCACTGGTTTCGTTCGGCTATTTTCGCCGATACGGAAAAAATCCCGTCGACGACGTTTCCGTCCGTCTACCGTGTCGCTGCCCGCACAAATGGTCTCCGATTCGACCTCACGTGGTGAACACTGGTGGTCCATGGTGCAGTTGGCCGACAGTGTTGCTTCTCGCCCGACAAACGATATGGAAAACGGCGAATCAGCTGCTCGGACCTCCTCCACAGAGCGGCGATTGAGTGAGCCCAAGCCGCCAGCCCTATCACCCACGCCCCAGTCGAAGGAAACGATTGTCGCACCCGCTCGCGGTCGACCCCTCGTGCCAACCGGCGGCCACGCGACTGTAGCCGTTAAGGACGAAACAAACATTGAACGACTTCGGAAGGATGCCGAGCGCCTTGAAGCGGCTATTCGAAACATTCGGTCGCGCAAATCAGGTAACCTCCAAAGCCCTTTTTAGTTATTACTAGCTTCCCCTCCCCCCAAAATTCATCACAGCTAGCTCAAAAAAACATCTTCTCTTAGTCGGTAGTCCCCACTCTTGAGTCGTTTCAAGGCCACAAAGCTTTCATGAGAACAGAATGCAATCACACTGGTGCTCGGATTCAGCCCCGTCATCTCGTGAGTCCTTGGGCTGATTTATTTTTCACTCAACGAGCAAACAGTCTCGAGGGCTTCTGTGTGTGTATGTATCAAGCCTGTGGAGCATGCATTACCTACTTGTATTGCCAGCAGACTGGCATGCGGTAACTGAATGACTCATCCAGAACACGGCCTTGGGTGTGCTCAGCCTCGACCACAGTCTGCAGCCAATTTAAGTGAAAAGACGCTTACACGAGACTTGGCTGGTGTCTCAATTTTGCTCCAGTTGTCGTTTTGGCCTCACGAAAAAATTTCCGCAAGTATATCCACGAAGGGTGTTCTGTTAGCTGTGTAGTAGCTAGAGCTTTAGCCCTAGCTTACAACCCTCTAGTTAATAGCCCGTAACAACCCGAGAATTGAATGAAGAGAGGCGACAGAGGACACGACCATTTATTAGCGTCACGCCAGCCAAGTGTCTTAGTGTGTGGATGAGTGAACGGATGACAAGCATCTGATGACAGTAACCAATGGAAGGGAGATGAGTCATTGTCACCGTCAGGCCAGTAAACGGGGTTCACTCAGGCGCGATCGCTGTTAATCCACTGCGGCTGTCTTGAAAAATGAATCTTGCAACATTTCGGTACTGGACCCACCTGTCTACTGATCACGTGGTATTGCCATGATATTCAGCTGTGAATTTAAGTTAAAGACGTGCTTTTTTAACTTATTACAAAATTTTTCACTAACAGCCAAGGGTAGCGTCTACGGTGTGTCACATTGAACCAGTAGATTTGGCATCGAGCTGATTGTGTGGCGCATTAATTGTAATCGTCCAAGTGTCTCAAAATTTGTGATGGCCTTGCTAAGGTCTTCCTTTCACGTATTGGTTCACTGTTAGGATGTTTTCTCGGATTTTCCGCTTAATCAAGAACTATTTATGCATACTAACCGGAGGGTGATGAAAAATCTTTTATTTGGCCACCGTGTCACACCTGCCAGTATAGTTGCGAAGCCACGATGGCAACCTTAGCTGATTTTGCCAACTTCCTTCTAGTAGCATTCAGTGGCATTGATGTGAACTCCTTCGGGAGAATTTCTGCTCACTACCTTTTTTAATGAAGACGATCCGATGACGAGAACAAGTTCTGCTGCGCCTAGCGACTTGGGGGAACTTGTAATTACGACATTCAATTGCTTTTTTCTGTTTGCTCTTAATGGTAGGAAGTTGCGCCGTCATTTTTTCACTTTTAGCATAGACAAGGCTGTTGCAAGTGGCTGATTATTGTGCTCTTTCTCCTTTGAAATTTCTCTAAGACCAGAACTATCTACGTAGAACGCATGGCTCTTGTTTTATGCCATATCACAAAACATGTTTGGAGTTGGCCTTTGAGAACATTTACGCCTGTGAGTGAGTGACAGGCAGTAAAATCCATTCTGTGCCGTGATATTAACGACTTCCTGGGGTCCTATCTGACGTGCGTATTAGTGTTACAGTCCACTATTGTAGACTGGGAGTTGAGTTTATGGTATATAAAAAGTTGATTCTTGAAGCACTAGTTGATGCAAAAGTGTACAAGATAGACCCACAGCCAATGCTCTCCAAAGTGTGTCCTGTTTAAACTGCCACCGAACGTAAAGGGGCGCCAGATCCACTGTTGGTGGCGTTTGCGTTTACTACCGGTGGCACTCAAGTAGGCCTGTGCATTTGCACTTCCTGCTCATCTCGATGGCGTTTTTCGTTGGGAGCGCCGTATGATGCCTCCCCTGCTGAGCACAAAGTCGTGCTGACGTCGCATGCCAGCGGGTGCCCTCGGGAAGATGTGAAGAGATGGAGGGGGGGGTTCTTGGTCCGCCGTGGGAGCCGAACTTCCACACTGCCACTGTAGTCAGTAACTTGCTTAAGGAAATCATGCTGACCTTTGACACCCGAGCAGATTGCGTGGCTGCACACAGGCACCCTTTTCAGCAACCTTGCAGTACTTGAGCTGGAAATGGCCACACGCATTCAGTAGAGCATGAAATTCAAAATATTCGTTTACTCGCCTGGGCTGTTCCGTTAGTAATTTGACAGTAGGAACCGTTTCATGCGAAAAAAACACTCCGTTTGCTTACTTTTTTGAGTTGGTTTGTTAATCCTCACGTTGAAGTAGTATGTGGTTACTTTCATCGCTTAAGCACACTCTTGAAATGTTAACCGCTGGCCTGCACCTGTTTAAATTTATTGCCACACCGACCTGTTCTTGGTGTGGTTTTACCATCATCTATTAAATGTGCTTTTATGCGTGCCGCTGCGGTTGTTTAGGTTTTGGATTAACTCGGATTTCTACTGCCTGATGTTACACAAACCTTATCTGAAAGTTTGTCCTCACCCACAATTGATTCGTTTTCCATTGGTGGTATTATGTGGTGGTAATGTTTAAGCGCCATGGAATAAAACCAGTCTTCACGTTACAAATCTACTCAGGCAGTTACTGGTGATCAGCAGTGAGCAAGGTGGTCGTGTGTAGACTAAGCAATTCTGATCACATCGCTGTTAGGATCGTAAAATGGACTCACAGAATTTTCCCGTAGTCTCCCATGTTCGTCAAACTTTCTAAAGCCAATTTTTTCACCACGTAGCACCGAATAAAACGCGATTTAATTTTTTCCCACTAGAACTCTCCGATTGGTTCTTCGACCAGATGCTGGTGGCTCAAGTTGCAAGCGATGACGGTAATTTGGCCGGGCGAACGATGCCCGCCCAGTCATCTGGAGCGGATATTAAGAGGAGCTATAAGAAGCGTAACGCCGAGCTAACGCAGAAACTTGCGGAGCTTGAAGGACGCCTCTCAGACACGCGACTCGTCATCTCCCATCTGGAAGGACAGAGTCTGCCGACAGATCCCGACGCTGTCCGAGCCTACATCTCGCAGATCCTGGCAGAGAATCGGCGGAAAGGCGGCGGCTCTGCCACCGCACCGTCTCCCCACGTCAAGCTCCCTGCCAGGCCCGCTGACACCGACGATACAGGCAAGTGTCTTGAGCTGTGTCAATTTTCGTGCCGATCGCAGAATTTTTCTGCTTACCAACACATCGTCTAGGGTTGTGTGATGCCACTTGACCTCTTCTGCTTCATTGGCTCTTCGAATTGCGGTTAATCAAAGTCAAACATGCGCCCTGTTTGTTTGTCCACAGTACGCACCTCCTTTCTAACAATACGCGATAGATTTTGCACCCTGCGATTTTGATCTACCTCGGCGCTCCAAACCTCCGTCTCCCGCAGTTCTGACCTTGTTGTCTACGGTGATGCCCGTTGCACAATGTCCGCTGCTTCATAGTGCTGCTACCTTCGTTAAAGAAATGGTCAATTGCCCCCAAGAAATGACGATTATTGACAGCTTTTACCCGGCCGGATTTAAGCTGTCTTGGGCGTGTAGCCCCTCCCTCTCTCTCCCCCCTTCCTCCTCTATCCGCTTTTACGCTTGAAGTGTTCGCATAAGCGCCGTTACTAAGGTCCCGTAGAGATGCGCGCACCAATACTAGAGCCAGCAAACAACTTTGCTTTGCGATATTTCGAAAACACCTCTATCTGTGTACGCTAGTAACGAAATCTAACGTCTCTTAGCAACACATGATATAACTCTGTTAAACTGGCGAAGGACTCTCCCCGCTTCTTCTTGCAAATATGTTGAATTGCTGGGGCATTTTTCCACAAAGGAACGAAGTGCTCGTAATTTGTGATTGGTGATTTGATCATTAAATGGGCACAATATTTGTGTCGGCATGTGGCTTATGTCATTAGTTGTCAAATGGGGCCCTCGAGAACAGCCTTATTTGGACGTCGAACCTTATGGCTACTGGCTGTGAAGCTCAGTTGCGTAGTTCGTTCGGATTTTCACCGGTGAACTACGGAGGGACGCTGAGGAACACGATCGTCTACTGAGGCCGTCGAGTGTTCGCCTGTTGGTTTTGCCAATACCGAGAAAATAAAATTCATTTGAGCATGTGAAAATTGTCCACCTTCTAGGGATCAGCTGAAGGTCAGGTCAAACCATCAAAGCGAATGATTTATGTCAATAGATCAATACAATTGATCATGTCTGTCATTGCTAGTAAATTTTCAATTACAAATCTGATTGTATGTATATGAGCACCAGAGGCCGACTGTGCTGTAATGTGGAAAGAGTGTGTGTGTGAAACCACTCCAGCTTTGACCATTCAATTGTGAAATGCCTCATAGTAGTGGAATTTCTTAAAAGTCAACTTTAGTGAAAACTCAGATCTTTTGAAAACCCGTAAAATTTGGCACATGTTTGAATTCTGGGAGCGAGGTTAATTTTATGGCCTCCTGGTGCTTTTGGGGGCTGTTTTTTGTTTTCAAGTGCCCCGTTTGCAACCCGCGCCACCACCACGTGGCGAATACGAGTACGCGTGTTATGAATCGTGCATTGGGCTATTATCTTTCTCTGGAAAAAAACAGCTGCATTGATTTTAAACACGAAGCGAAACCACTGCACACGAATTTCAGCCCATGTTGTCACGGTGCTGGTGATCAGGAAACTTTTTTACTAATCTGTCAGTCAGCCCTGTCAGAAACCTGAACTCACAAAGTCTAGGGGTGTTGTAGGGGGTCATTTACGGACGGCATTAGCATGTAAACGCGAGAACCAAAACTTTTGCTTTTTTCAACCGTTCTTTGTCAGGCCGTTCCCGTTTCCACTTGATGCCCGATTTCTCGTTGCCAAGTCGGCCGCTGATGTCGTTCGTTAATGACTTCACTTTCTTTTTTCTTTATAAATTTCATATATTGCAAATGTTATGTCTAACAGGCAAGTAATCTCAGTAGATGGGGCTTACAAGTTTGAGAACGTTGTTTCAAGATGCTAATCTTGTGTGGCTTCAGATTGTGGCATTTGATCAGAAGGAGGGATATTGTGCGCTGTCTTTCAATAGTCTCCGGGCGACCTTCGATCTGTTGCGAATCATCATTTTTGCTGTGATTGTTTCTTGTTAGATTAACGGCTTGTTTAAGCACGCCATCTTAGTTTTTTTGTGAACCAGGAAGCGACTCCTTTAGGATGATTTAGAAACCTTGCAACCACTTCAGATTTTTACCCAAAGTGGGAAAACGAACGCATTATGCCTCATTTCGATGCGGTAGAAAAGTTGTACTGTGAATTTGGACTTTTGTTACGTTTTTCTGGCGTCAACCCACGCCGCCTTTGCAGGTATTCGCCTCATTGCGAGACAGGAAACCAAGCATTGCGCGACTAAAAGCACAACTAATAGTCATGCTTTTAAGTGTCATAGTCGATTTCGTGAAGTGTAATTTATGTTTCCCATTACTGGAAAGCACTAATTCCGTCAAAACTTCTGCTGTTGTAGACACTTCAGTTTCCCTTACTGCTCCAACCCCCCTCGCAACCACTGCAGAGACGCCAGCCGTGACTGAGCAACCGCCACAACAGTCGCATCATTCTTCTCCAAGGTCGGGCACCGCCCTTCCACCTCAGAGTGCTGTAAACGCCACCGACATCGCCAATGCCGTACCTCTGAACTTAACGGCTTCCGAGGCGTCTGAATCTCTGTCGCCACCCGCGAAATCGCGGACCCTTCCCCAGGAGTCCGACATTTCCAAGGAGGCAGTCGCCCACGCTCTTCCCGTGGATGCCACGAATTCGGCTCGTGTCACGCGACTGCGCTCTGCTCTCCCCCCGATCGGCACACAAGAGGAACGTCCCTCAAGTGGCCACTCAGATCCCGTGACCTCCACGAACTTCTTCGGCACGTCCCCACCCCCACCACCGCAGTTGCCATTAAAGGCACCATCCTCGTCCAAAAAACCGAGGAACTCGGCTCGTCGCGCCTTCAGGTAAGGCATTAGCTAAGTTATTAAATGGCGCGCCTTCTAGTGTGCAGGCTAATGATGTTACTTCAGTTTGACTTGGTACTCCGCTTCCAAACAACGATATTTGGCCATTCTGCTTCCTTCACTAATCTAGTCAATTTATCCGTCAAAACCTCAGCCCTGCTGAACAAAATGTCTAGTCCTGGTAACGACACAACATGGATCACACTATGTGTCTACCGGTTATGGGATTTCGTGAGAGTCTTTTATTGTTTACTTGGGTCGTAGGACATTTAATTGGAATGCTTTGTGCCAAAATGGCCAATCAGGAAGCTTTTGTAGCCTTCATGATTAACTTGCATGCAATCGCCGCCATGCTCGTCTTTTTAATGGAATGGCCATTTGCGAATGTAGTTACTAAGATTGGCACATTTTAAGGAATCCATTAGCATCTCGGGTTCTAAGGTCTTAGGTCTCTGCGAATACCGATTTATCTTGTGTTTTGCATTACTTTCCTGTCTTCATCCCGTGGTTATTGCGATATTTAATGACTGCTGTGGGTTTTTTTCGAGTTTACCCAATCTCTTCCATTTTCACTATTTATTAGTGAATGTTTTTGAAAAAAGGCAAACTCACGAAATCGTTCGTCCGTTTGCTCTTTCGTTTACGATTTGTATCACCTACTCCAATTGGCTACAGCTGCATTCGAAGGGTGTAATTTGCCGCTTCGCGTATCGTTTTTCTACCTAAAATTAGTTGTGCATACTTTAAAAGTGAGCGGAATTTCTGGCCAGATGCAGTCGTTTCTTTCTGCTAAACAAAAACTGCTAATAAAAGGTTTTCTACATAGAAGGCCCTCCAAATTGTCCAAGTTAAATGTCAAGTAGTTACTGTGCAATTCAAACGAAAGTGCTTTTGCGCCGCATATGTCGTATCTACTTGTGCCACAGTGTTTGCCAAGCTGTTTTAATAGCCAATTAGTGCACCCGCGGCCCTGACATTTGCTTCTTTGTGTGTAGCCGCCTCGTGAAACCCTTCGGCCGACGGTCGGGTTCAGCTTTTCCGTCGCCCCCTCTCAAGAAATCGGCAAGCGAGGAGCATATGCTTCCGGCTGCGGCGGCTTTTTCTCCCCTAAGTGAGTGTCCTCTTTGCCGAGCCCCCGTCGCAGCACACACCTTGACTCAGCCACCTCACCTTTTCGAGTGGCGGGTGTCTTAGCACCAGCAGACTCGCCCATTCGCGTTCCCTCTACCTCACTTTAGTGCTCTAATTTCTAACCAACTGTGGACATTTACGTCAAGTGCTAACTTCTTTTAACTTGACGTAGTCGGACCAGTCCCAACGCATTTTGTGTGTTCTAGTTTGTGGAATGTACCTGTCTTCCCTGCTAAGTTACCTATCAGATAATTTGATGTCTAAGGGTTCGAGGTGTTGCACAGATAGCTGTCTCGGTTATAGGAAACAACTTTAGTTTTGGTGTCCGGATTCTGTTTTCATTTTTAAAATTCCTTTCGCTTTGGTGTCTTGCTTGTGCAGCATGCAAACACAGGCTGTGATCGTTAATATACAAAATCACCACAGAGGGTAAGAATAGGGGTCGGATGGAGCGGAATGGGGAGGCCAAGGCTACATTATTCAAACAGATGGAAATGTGGTCAATGCCTTCGAGAGCTAGTTGCTTAATTGAGCTCTTTCAGTGCCTAGGCTCAGAAGACGCTTGGTGGGCAATTATTTGAGAGCCGTAGTCATTGCGTCGCCTCACCCCGATCATACCCACTCCAGACACAAACCTTACCTGGCCTGCTGTTTTCTTCAACCAATGAACCGTTGATGCCGCTCTTGTGTAACTTTGTGTAAATCCTCGCTGAAATTAAGTTCTCGGTTGGAAGTATCCGACTTGTTTTACGTACATAGCTGCTTTCTTAATTTTCGGGCAATTCACTACCCAAAATCCCTTCCTCTAGCCAGCGTATCGTATATAGGTGGCTTTTGATGCCTTGTGACCTGTGGGCTGCACAGTTTATTTAAAACATTTTTGCTAAAGCCAACGTAACAGCATTTTGGTTAGAATCAAGTGTTTACCTTCGATAAATTATACCTCCTTCTGCTGACCAGTTATTTCGGGTTTGCTTTAGATGACGGAACCTACAAGCTCTACAAGGTTCCTTCTGCGTCGAACGCCCGAATGTTGAGTCCGAAGTACGTTTTTTATTCGCACCAAGTCTTGCTTCACGGCATTGATCTTCATAATTTCCGCGTAGGACCATTTTGACTTTTAAAAAACCCCTCATCCGTGCAAATGCCTTGAAGCTTATTGGAAAGTACGGCGAAAGGCTAACCCAGATAGCGCTCTCAAATTATATCACTCCGTTTTCAGACGATGTTTTTTTCCTCGTACCCCCTAGTGCTGGTTTACATTTATCCGGTGCAGTGTCTACAACTTCCAGGTCAAAGAAGTCCATCAAACTCGGTAACGGTGGTCCCGTTGATCACTCCTTCCAGCTGGTAAGATTGCCATGAAATTTACTCCATTATTTTTTTTTCCAATTGACGCTAAACGAACCCAATCAAGGGTGTTAGTGCGCTATCTCGTCTTGGTCCGCTTGCTCAAGACAGTTGTTCATCTCGGCACTTCACTTCTCACCCTTCATCCAAACTAACATGAAGTTTGCCAAACTTGGTAGTTACCAGAGTAGTGTGCCAGTTGACGAAGTAGCTTTTTACCATCCTGCCAACGATTGTCCATCTGTTAATTTCTGTAAAATATCCGATCGAGACCCCATCTGTGTTAATTTGGTAGCACAATTTAATACTGATTACTAGTAGAGGCTTCGCGTTTAAAGACCAATCTTACATCTCTTCCATTCCGTGTGCAATATTTGCCGGCCATAATAATCTCAAAGATACCGTATTTACCTTCTAAGAGGTCTTAAACTTTAAACACTTGCTCAATTAGGCGCCTGTTAAACTAAATTCTTTATTTAGCTCTTACAGAGTGAGTAGGTAGAACTTATGTTATAAATTATACGTTTCCCGTTTCAGGAACCAGGTGCAAGTTCCAAAAAGAGTCATGCTGGATCCGTCTCCTCCGGTGTAGCGGGGCGTCAATCACGAAACCAGCAAGCTGAGTCAACAGCCACATCTGGCGGCAGCGAGAGCTGTCCCCCATGCAACGTTGGAGTGGGCTCTTCTGTCAACGACGAGGCCGTAGGCATTATCAACGTGCTTGACGTCCTTTGCGGTGGCGGCATCGGGGGCCTTGGTGTTGCCCGCAGCAGTGTCGGCAACCCCGTCACGTCCTCCGGCGGCGGTTCCACCCACTCCGGAGGGGCTGCAGCGCCGATGTCGGCCAATGGGGCGACGGCAGGCCCGTCGTCTTCCGTCTTCCTCTCCGCCTCCTCCACCACACCCCCGCCAGCCTATAACGTGGCGATGGCCCTTGTTATGCTGCACCAACGCAGTCAGGCACTGCTTGAGGCGCACGCCGAAGCACAGCAGAAGTTAATCTCGGAGCTGCGTGAGGAGCTAACCAACCTACGACAAGACCTCATGGAGACTCGCAACATGGTCAACACGATCACTGTGGAGGTCGAGGCTCTTAGGGTAAGCTCATGCGCATTCTACGTTAGTGAGTTTGTTCCCCGCGTTCAAGGAGGCCGCATCAACTGGGGAGTAACATGTATTAGCGGAGTACGCCTAGTGCGCACGTTTCTACAGGGACAGATTCGCTAACAACATGAACTATACGTGCGGCGGGTTTTGAAGTCTCGAAACATTGTCTCGTCGACAATTTGGATCCTTTTTATAAACACAATGATAGATCTGCCACGCGTTTAGCAAGAAAAACCCATTCAAGTCAGCAGCTTCTTGAAGACTCATGAATAACGGTGGAGCGATGGTCGTGTCTGCCTTCCCTCAAGGTGGCCCAGACCGGTGATTGGACATTTGGTTGGTTTCCATCAACACAACTGGAAAACATGCGCATTCATTCCATTCCGTGCGCTCGTCTGATGCTGTGCTCCGACTGTGAAATGTATTCGTGGTCGACATGCGTGGGTTGTCCTATTTAACAAAAAATAGCAAGATTTTGGTACTTACCATTCCCCCGTGAGATTCATGTTTCCCTTTTTGTTATTTCAGCGTGACATGCAAACGAAGGAGGATGTACAAAGTCACACACTGTCAAACGCAATAGCTCGACTGGAGCAGCTGGACGCTTCGGCTGAAAAGTTGCGACAAAACGTCCAGCAGGATTTGATTTCCATCCGCAATGAACAGAAACACGCACTGGAGCCCCTAAAATACCAGTTGGCTACTGAAACGCGAGACCTTCGTGACATGTTCACCACTCTCAGCAATAAGGTACGGTAGATCTGCTCTAAGGCCACGCAGTGTTTTACGAAAATTGCTTTAATTGGAGTCCGCCATCTGATTGGTGCTGAGGTGTCTCTCAGCTTCGCCCATAGGTTCAGGTGGCTTCTCTTTTCACGCTAAAACTCCTACCTGTTTTTCATTAGCTTTTAATCAATTCAGATTAACTTCGATCAGTTGAACTCACTCTATCACTAAATGCTCTTTCAACCTAGGTAAAGCATCTACCACTTTTTCTAAATGCCCTTATAATTTGAGGCATCGGCCTCTTTCTGACATGCGAATCACTTTCTTTTGACCCTCCAGGTCACTATAATGGAGAAATGCGAGCGCTTATCGAATCTCGATCGTGACCAGCCTCAGGCATTAAGGCTAATAGCCAATACCATGACAAACCTGGTCGTGTCTCTTTTTGCATTCATTACTGCCCTCATCCAAATCCTCATTCGGTTCCTCAATGCTGGTGCCACCGTCACCAACAATCGGTAGGTCCCCTCTCTCTCTACTTGGCCCTCCTGCTCTCAATGACTCAATACTTTCTACCTTATTAGTTCGGCTGTTGATGGAGCAATGTTATTTTAATATGAAAGTTTAAAAACAACCTAATTTGTACCATTGAAAGTTCTTGGAACCGAATAATTTAAGCAGGGTTGCCAATTCGCTGCCTTACCACTTTTCTTTTATCTTACAGCGTCTCCGCGATTGTGCTGAATGTGTGCATTTTGGTCTTTCTCTTGGTGATTTTCCTAGCGGAGCCCCTGTTTCGGTGGTGGAACCGCACCGACGCCATCTACCCCTCCTCCCCGGCGTTCCAACCTCCACGATGATTTTGTGGTGGTGAGCACCCGAATTTGTCCCTACCCGGAGCGTGCGCCGGCACCTTTCTCACTTTCTCTGTCCACTCACCAAGACGTTTTCGCCTCTCATTGACTAACCACTGACGAGAGAGAGAGAGCATTTATCGATTGTCTTGGTCGCGTTTGGACCATTCCAGAGGCCACCTAATCACGGCGCCTCCCTTTTTGCGTGCTCATGCGCAACCATTGTGTCACCGCCACAATCACCATGACCTCGCGATTGTACAAAAATAGCGCGCATGTGTGCCACTCCATAATGTGTGCAAATTTCTCAACCCTTTTTATTCGAGCTTCCTACCCCCCACTACTTATTTCCTTTGACTGGGTGACTCTCGGTCAATCTTTCGCCTGTGTCCGCGAAATTTGAGTTGGTATTTCATTATTTTCCTTCCACTCCTGTAAGTGTTGCGCCTGTGCAATTATTTTTTGATAAATCTGAGTTCATGTGATGTCGATGATGACGTTTTTCACTTTCACATCAGCTGCTCCAGCTCGAGGCTTCTATGCGCGCATTTTTTTGCTTTAGGAGAGAGTGAAGTTCTTAGGCCGTTGGTTTTAATCAGGGCATCATTTTCTCTGCCTTACCCGGTGTTGGTAAAAAAAACTCTGAACATTAGCCCCGTGGTGTATATCCACTAAAAGGAACTACTGGCACTGACCATTTTGAAGTCTGGAGGAATTTCCGAGTTGGGTCAGGAAAACAAAGTAGTGTGGTATTGGATTCCCGGGATCACAGGCCAGTATAGCTCTGTGGTGTTGCTTGTCCCACCCTGGTGAAGCCTGCTAGTTAGTGCATTAATAGCACCTACTCAATGGTGTCCTCGTGCTTGATTGGGTTTTGATTGTAGAATGGCCTTGTGAACAAGTGGACAGGCTTAGTGTACTAAAGGCGAGTTACCTGGTGACGTCGATGGTCACTAATTTGATAAAAACGTGTAGCTGACCCATGGGGCTTCGGTGCCGTGGCTGCCGTGCGGATCTGCATTGTGCGCTGGTCGCCTGTGCTATGCTTTTGCTCAGGCTTGTCATTGCTACACATCGGTACAACAACACAGGTTGCGGGGTTAATAAACTTGCGATAAAGTCGGGACCAATCGTATGGTTTCGCTTACCTTGTCACGGATTTTATGTTTCAGTGCTGTTTTAACGTAGTTAATTTCGTTGAATAATAGAAACCTGGGGACTACAGTGAGATAGTGCTACCTGGCCATGTAAAACGTCCGCGTTCCTCCCTAATGGTGGAACCCAAGGCACAACCACCTACTTCACTGGTGCTGGCACAAACGCTTTTCGGAATCGAATTGGGCAATTACCAACCTGTTCTGGTGTACATGCGCCTATATCTCGCATTTGTGTTTAAAGCATGAAACACAAGTGGGAATTCGGAACATATAGCGTGGAATGTGGGACTGTTCAATCTAAAAATCGTCAAGTTATTGCTTGTCAACTCCAATTCAGCGATTCCTTGTTCGTATAGGCTCAAAAATGTAAATCGTAAGCAAAAGTAGACGGCTTCATTAAAACAAGAGCTAATAATTTCTGTGATAGAATAGTTTTCAGAAGTCTATTTAAAAATGACTATTCAAGAAGTCACACTAATGATTAATTCTTTGGAACAAACCTAGAATTATGCTTTCGTTGATTTGACAAACTTTAATGCTTGTTACCTTTGGGTTTTCCTCGTCAAACTCGGTGATACAATTCTAATCGATCCCACTGACACGATATTCAAAGTGCGATCTTCCAGAGTACTGGCCTTCAAAATTTGGCCAAACTGTGAGCGTGCTTCCCGCCTTGACAGTATGTCGTTTGCCCTAACATGCGAGGGCGCAGTCACCGGCAATAGGAAATGTGTGTGACCGAAGCATTTTTGCGGTTGTCTCGTTTTTGCTCTGCACTTCGCGTCGACACCTGAAGTGCGTTTGCGGGTGAGCCAAGGTGCATCAACGTTTCTCAGTACACGTGAACGTCTTTGCAACACTTGAACCAGCCTCATGAGTTAAATCTTAATAGACTCGAGTAATTGCATTTAAGAATCCAATCGGTTGCTTGGATGTAAGTAATAGTAGATACTGCTAGACAATCACGAAGTGGGGTGATTTGTGTGGACTACTTTAAATGTTACAATTGTGTTCTGCATTTAATCATTATCGTTCACCTGAAAGTTAACCGCTAGTGTCAAATAAATTTTATGATTAACGACAAATCCGTGACAGTCAATAAATTTCGCATATCCTCCGTGTGTCGCGACAGGAAAAACTTTTAGGAAATTATGGGTTAAATGTCCTAAATTGAAAGTTTTTTTTCACCAGAAACGTTACTGTGTTTTGGTGATTAATTTGTCAGTGAAAAAAGAAATGTCAGTCATGCATGTGTTCAATTAAAATTGCCCCACTGAGGTTTGACATATTTTTCATTAAAATATCAATAAATCAAAGAAGGATGTTATGTGAATTGAAATTTAATTTGCGACTGATGAGCTTAAATTCAAGCAATTAGACTTTGCATCAAATTCACATCTGTTATAGAGGGCTTGGGGTTAGGGTTATCATCGGATTTGATTTTGCAGACTCGACAGCCTTAGATCAGCTCAGACCCGGAAACATGTCATTTCAGTTAAGCGATCAAGAAAAAGCTTTACAGAAGGTGGAAAAAACGGTTCGAAAATGTGAGGCTTTTGAAAAGCATTTGCTAAAGTGATTTCATGAGGCGCTCTTTGGTGCCAGCTGAAACCACAAATACGAAAGTGGTCTTGCTAGTTCGTGATGCGTTCTGGAGTCGCGTCGATGTAGGGTACATAGCTCCAGAAAAGTACTTTTAACTTAAGAAGCACGCACTTTTAAGCACAATATCAAATTGATAACAAACTTTGTTGATCGACATCAGCCAGATTGATAAAAGGCAGTAATTGCGAGGACCCGATTGACTCAAAAATTACTTTATTAATGAAGCATATTTCGACGTAAGAAACTATATAGTCCTTCGATTTTATATATGCTCTCTGTGCTCATGCAATCTCTGTAGCTGGAGTAACAACGAAGACTGCGCGATCGACCATCTGTATTTCCAGCAGATCTACCATTAAGTGCCCCTTCGCCTCTTGAGATGCTTCAGAGAGAACTAAAATTTAGTCTGACATAGACACGATATTATCAGCTAAATTACCAGCTGATTTGACGAATTAGCCGATGTTTAATGCAACATCAGTTCTAGCGTGGTTGATAAAGCCAAATTGAAGATTTAAGACGATTAATAAATGCTGAAAAACCTCCTTTCATTAATTTTGGCAGGTTTTCAAGGTAGGCTGAAGTCTGCATAGGTCTAACACCAGGCCACACAAAAAGCTTGAATTAGAGGCCTAACATAGTACGCTCTAAGTGTAAAAAGCAGTCCTTAAGAAAGACAATATGATACTTTATTTACTTCATAGTTTGCTCAAACGAACGCTCATGTAAAAAACATTAGTATTTCATCATGGAAGCCAGGCTCAAAGTTTTTTTCCAGTTTAATCAACTTCATTGAAATAGTCTTGATGCCTTCTTGCCCTTTTGAGCCCACCTTGTTAAAACTTCCGGTTCGATAAGTAGCTAAAATAGATTTAAATAGAATCAATCAGTTCTCAGGTAATCGTGAAGAAATTTAATGAAACTGGTGGATATCGAAAAATAAAAAAAGTAAATCCAAACGATGCTCTGCAATTGAAAAAAAAAGGTAAGCCGTTTTTTTATTAGCCTGAATTACTGGCGAAAACTGGTTAAGCATTGCACCAAAAAGCTTTGCGACAACCAGAGATTCTGGTTATTGAGTAAAGTCAGTAAATCGTAGCTTCATGGACTCTTCTCCTTCCAATAAGCTGTTGACGATAAACTAATGGGTTTTGGCCATTAGTTAAAGAATCAAAAAATGCATTTTAAATATGGCTCTCAACCCCAAAACCGAAAAATTTCCCACGTGCTTGCACTTTTGGCAAAAGGTACAAATTTTGTTTACAAAGAGAGGGAATGTTTATCCTCAGAAATTGCTACGAATATGTTGGTTGCCATGCTTGCGGCCACTGTGTACTAGAATTTTACTGAAATTTTGGTAGACTGCCAGCTAAAACGTATCACTAACGGTCTGTCTTTACGAGTTGAACGGGAGTTATGTGGGATCCGTAACTTTCTAGCTGGTCGTTGGTCCCTGTACATAAAATCGTGGTAGTAAACAGGCCCATATTTAATGCCACAGAGACGCATCGTGCCTGGCGAGCGAATAAACGTGTGGGTCAACCTGTTCTCATCTAATTTGACCCTGCGTTTATTAGTGATGGCATTTGCAGTTGTCTTGAAACTGAAGCTAAAATCGATGAAATATAACTCTAGTGCAATTTACTACAAGCGGAATGTTACAAGTTTCAAGAACTTGAAACCAATCTTTGTCATCATTTTTGCTGAAATCGCACCAGCGTTAAAGCCACGAAGAAGTTAACGATTAAATTTACATCGAACGAGGCCAACGGTTGTGGTTCGTTTGCACCAGGTTCGGGGATTCCCATGTTCTTATTCCACTTCATGTTGCTCTGGTTTTGTGAAGGTACTTCTCTCTCGGTGACGGCAATATCCTCCTCCTTTTCATCAGTGTTGTCATTTTCGCCCAACACAGCACCAAAGGCGTCTTCGGAGTCGTCCACGTCATCTTCGCTGTCATAAACGTTTGAGACGTTGGTCATTTCGGTCTTGGGTTTTTCACGCACTTGATACATCTCCGAGGGCTGCACCAGGTAAAAGTCCACTCGTCCAATCGCATATGCCTCATAGAGTTGGTTGATGAATTCTTTTGCTTCTATGATTTACATGAAGCAAAAGACCAGTTTCGTATTATATTCATAATCGAAAATATATTGGCTAAATTGTCCTTAATTCTCGTTTGGAAGTCTTACATTATTAGGTTTTCTAAATAATCAAATTACTCATTGACAGTCAGACGCAACAGTTCTGTAGCCTGAATGCGAAAAGCATTTACGGTTCTGCATCTTAATGCAATGAGCTACAAAGTATTATTGTTGAAAACCCATTAGAGCCCAACTACTAACACCTTTATCACTCAATCCCGTCTGCAATGTAATCGGCGTCAAAATAAAACCAATTCCGTCCATCCGGTTATTTAGCCCCCTGTTCTAGGTGCTAGCGGTAGAAATTTAGCAAAGTGGAGGGCTAGATATGCTGTGCGCATCACTGAAACTCACCATTTGCGAGTCCTTTATCATAGATGTTTGTTAGTCTCCGACATATATCTTTGGAGACCTCAAATCCAAGGAGGGGTGAGTTTTTCACCGAGAAAGCATCGAGTAGTTCGGTGAAGTGCTCGCGCGTTGTCTTCTCGTCGTCCCCGTCATGTCCTTGAGGAAGAGGCCTCTCAATCAACTCCTCCGTTTCCTCCTCATGCTCCTGGTCCTCCACCTGTTCAACATTGTGTCCCTCTGTTAACTGGTGCAATGGCTCCAGGTCGTAGCTCTCAATCTCTGAATCTTCCTCCTTGTTATTCATATTCCATCCAGTCGAACCGTTTTCTGAGAGAGCTGAGTAAAGGCCATCCACTGTTCTATCCAGCTGAATCACATCATCTTCAAGCAAAGGAAAGTTAGGTGAAGCCTCATTACCTGAGTTGTTTATCTGGTGATCCTTGTTCCCGGGCTCGGCACTGGCAACTGTTTCGAGTTTTTCAAGGCGACGATTCATCAGATTTTGTATCAATTTCTCCCTGCATCCAAGAGTAAACCTCGTTATGCAAATAATGAGTTAGGTTAAAGTAATTTCTAAATGCTCCACTAATTCACCAACGAGAGGAGCGAAATCAATTCAAATGAGGACGCCACCGACTGAAGTAAATTTTCCAATTTGAAGAGCTGAAAAAGCCCTCACCATTTTCTATAAGTAATTTTTTGGTTATGCACTCTGAGCCCGTTCTGATTGAGCTTGTGATTAGCTCTTTAGGGAACGCCCAGCAATACCGAAATCAGATGAGGGCAGACAAAAAGCATGTGAGCTCGTTCCTAATCTCCTTCAGATGGATAGACAGCAGGGGAATTCATGGAGCACCAGAAGTACCTCTACACCATCGGTAATAGAGCTATTTTTCTCAAGGCCCGTCTCTTTTAACTTCGGCTGTGCGATTCACTGGAAGCCGTGTGTCTTATCAACTACAGCGGTACATAACTGACGTTTTGTGATAAATGGAATGAAGGGAACCAAAAGCAAAACGGACTAAAGTACTTTTGCAGGCGCTGACTGGCGGCGTACGCAAAAGTATCTTTTAGGGGCTCCAGTTCTATGACCGTGGGAGTGTCGGAGATGAGGTCGTGAAATGAGAAGCGCGTCTCCGTCGCCGTAATAAAATGCTCAGGCGACACGGCATCCGGCGCTTCAGACTGCCCTGTGGTCATTTTTGTTCGGCTAGCCGATGTTTGATGTGATTCATCGTTTGTCGTTGAAAAACTGTCCATGGTGTTGGCGGTGGAACCACTGTTCTGGTGTGACACAGTGTGCCGTTTGCTGTCTACGAGGCTAAGGAAGCAATCGAAAACGCCTCGAGTCTTTATCTGCACCTTGCCTCTCACGACCACACGCATGCAGAGGCTGTTGTAGAGGAGAACGTGGAGCAAGTCGTAGCCGCTAACTCGATATCTGGACTGTCCGTAGTTTGGAATCTGTCGAATTTTTTTTCAAGAAAGCGTAAATAAGATCATTTTTAGGGATTTGCCATTGTAGAATGTGTCTCGCTATAAAATTTATTAACTTTTCGCTGAAAAAATGGACATTAAATCATCCTCAATCACTCTAATATAGATAAAGGAATGTGAAGACGGAGGTCTGACTTTCTGGAAAAGCAAATTTATCCCACCAGTAACAGGTTTTCTTCAATATCACAAGAAAAATTTACTTAGAGGACCACAGTTTCACAATATTTGTTGCCAACATAATTCACTATTATTTCCCATTTTTAAACAGATCCTACTACTACTTGTCAACCACTCAATATCCACCTGGTTATTCAGCGACATCACAATGAAATTCTTCGGTTCGATGACATGTAGTGCCGCCTGGCTATGTTTTTTTTAACCGTTAAGTGTGAACACAGTGATTGGTGATTTACTTGTTCAAAACAGCGCTCTAAACTACCACGTGCGCTGCGGCAAGTGTTTTACGTTTACCCCCCTGTCAGCTGGCGTCATCGACCAATCGCACCAAGCAAATCATAATCGAATCGATGGGGCCGTGTACAGGGAACCTGAGACAGTAAACGCTATTGCAACCTACGGCAGGTCTCTCCATACTCTCGTCCGGAGGAGGCAGCAGGTTTTGGAGGTTTTGGTAGGCCGAGTTGGCAATGGCCGCGCACCGTCTTGAGGGACTCGCCATGCTCTAAATCACAACAGAGACGGACTTTGTGCAATGAGCCAATTTACAATCATCTTTGAATTAAGCATTAGTAGAAAGCGCTTTTATTTTCATAATGGCAGTTAAAGTGTAGCACGAATGCATTTAGGAAATCTCATCGCTTGAGTAAAAAGAACTATAAATAGATCTGAATCCTAGACTTACAACAAAACTAGTGCATATCGAAACCACTGAATACACTTTTCAGCACACTGTGGACTTCGAGAAGAGGCTTAAACTGCGGCCTGATTCTTGCAACGAACCATTCGGGGAAAGAGAATGGAAGTGGTTTACAACTTAATTGTCTGAGAAGTGGCAAGCTAACACCTTCAAGTCTATTCATCCAAACAATTTTTTTACTAGGGAGCTGATGTTCATGAGAAACACGGATTGTCACTTCAACATTCGGGCACTGTATGTGTTTTTATTGGTGCCAGCATTGACTTTTAATGAAAGGCTGGTTTACTCGTGTGACAACCTATCAAATGTAGTTTTGCTACAAGGACCTCTTAAGGCGCGTCAGTGTCTAATCTTTGGCAGTTTACATAGATCTACGTCAGTGTTTACTAGATCTAACTATGGCGAAAAGAACGATCTGTTGTTTTACCTGAACAAGTGGGATGAATCCTGCGAGAAGACGCTCTTCAAGGACGTCAAGCAGTTTGGTGGTGGGCACACAGTCGATCCAGAGGGTGATTTTGGATGGGGCCGTGGAAATGCAAGGCAGCAGAATGCCAGGAGGGGCCACACTCAGGGCCTCTAGACGGGTCATCATGTGAGCGATTTTCGACGTGGGCGTTCGATAGGGGTCATTCGAGTACAGCAGGGCGAATCTGGCCACAAACGGTACTAATTAGAAATGCATCGAACTACGATACGTTTATCAAAAGTGATCAAACACCCCGAAATCGAGAAGTGAATGGGTTCGTTTTTCATAACCACCCACTTTACCACTTCTTTGCGAGCAATACCAAAGTTATACCCCTCTAATTTAGGCATCATTCTTTAACCTATAGATATTTCGTACAACAGAATACAGGGCATAAGTTGTTTTCTTTCGTTTTAAACAAGCTAGTGGTGAACATCGTCTGCATCAGCTATTTGGTTTTTGTTTCGGTTTTAAAGACACCTCAACTTTGACAACTATGTAAGTAGAGAATTCAACCTCCCATCCGCACCTGTGTCCACTTTTCAGGTTCACTACGAAACAAACCTCCATTCCAGCAGTGATTACATTGTTGAGCCTGTTAGACATGTCGCAATTGTATCTTTGATAACATTGACAAAATGGATACTTCTAATCACTCAAAACTCTGTAATTTTGGCATCATTTGACCATTGAGGACGAATTAAATGTGACACTGGTCTGCGTTTTGTGTATTGACAACGCATATCTGTTGGGTAAAATGTTACTTCTTTAAATGTCGCGAGTCAGTCGGAGCCGTTTGCTACAAGGATTTACATTTTATTTATTTACACAAGTCTTTACATCGACACAACTGGCAGTTGCTCATTACAAAAGGATCAACATAATATGGCTGTCGATTTCCGTCACTGGAACACCTCTGCCACCCACACATCTTGGCGTCACTTCAACTATCCTTGTGGACATTGTACGCGTTTACTTGAAAGAATTCTATTTGAGATAACGATATGACCTTGAATTGACTCGTAAGGACCTCGTATACATATCTATCAAATCAGTTAGAAGAGAAAATTGTTATATCAGAATTTGAAAGATAGGGAAGGAATGAGTTCCCTTTAAAAAATGCGATTTACGTCAGATCTGTCTTTAGCCCGTGTTAATAGTAGTAGGTGTTGGCAAAATTTATACAAGGATGCTAAAAAAATATCAGGTACTTTAATTAAACGGTATTTCCCTGACATGCAATTTATAACCCACTTGATGTGTAGGACATTATGGCAGTTGATAGGCAAGTTTCTTCATCATACGTTTGAGAAGCTATTTGTTTTAACATCTGAATAGAAAATCCGCTTTCAAAGAAATCATTTTCACCGACAAAAGTCTCAACAATTAGAGTAAGATAATAATTAGTGATGCAGAAGCAAGAGAGGCCCTTCCTGGTTTCGACTGTCTTTATGCAATGTACAATTAGGTTCTGATGTGAATAGGAGAGTTGGTTTTTCCGATTTGCTCCTTGGGCTTTTGCTGAAAATACTGACGTTCCAAACTTCACTAGGTTCCTAAAGCCAAGCTCCACCATAAGAACACTACTGTTAGCGTTGGAAATATTTTAAATTGTCATCTTCGAACGCCGCTGTTGTTAGTCTGCGGTGTGCAACGGAGAAAAAAGCGGCTGCACAAACAAACACATGTGAAGTCACCAATTCTAAAGTCTTGACGAGAACTTACCGGCCAAGTTGAAAAGTATTGACTTGCAAGCACCGAGGAGTGAAAGGTCCGTTGATGGGGACATCCTTCCACTGAGCTCCCTTGAGACCCAGCAGCAGGTTAAGCCAGCCATTTTTAGCATTCAGGTTGTCACCTCGGAGGAGAGAGGAAGACGTGACGTCGCGATAGGGTCCTACTTTTACCAGTTTTTTCCTGGTTGCGACGCTGTCGCTGTTCGAGTCACCATTAGAAGCTCGCCAAACAAGCTGACGCTTCATTAGGGGTTGCTTGAACAGAGGATCATTAAGTAAGGCCCTCAGCATCACATTCCAATGTTAGATAAACTTTTTTTAAAAAACCTCACTGATTTCGTGTTTGTAGAAAATTTTGCGGAACCTGTGTGCTATTGGATCATTAAACAGGGCCTTTGGAATGGAGAATTTGAAGGACATTGGATCAAAAATCGATAGGCACAACGTTCACCCCTTCGTCAGTGATCCGTGGAAGGATGTGGGTGTAGTGGACTGTCAGCGATCGCGCGTGAGTGACGCCTGGTTACTGACCTGATGGTGTCTATGACTCATCGCTATTTCATTAATTACTGCCACCAGTCATCCGCACACAAAGACACTTGGCTGGCGTGAAGTTAATAAATAGTCGTGTCCATTGCCACCTCACTTCCTTCTCTTGGGTTTCTAAGGCCAGTTAACTAAAGGGATGTAAGGTATTGCTAAGCTAAATTGAAGTCAGTTTTTATCAGTGGAAGCTTGATGGATGAGCTGATTCAACATCAGTTAAATAACGTGATTACCAAGTGAGCTACTCCATGGACAATGTACGCCACCAAGTTGCCTATAAAATCAAGGCCTTAGTGTGGGTAATAACGAGATAAAGGAAATATCCTGGTGGTGTAACCAGCGGTCATTAATGTATCAGAAAATTTTCAACCATCTTGTGCATTAGGTAATGGATCGATTGGGTGAACAAACCTGATAGACGAGAACTAGGTTCTTTGGTCTCTTATCGATCGGAATTACATTGTTGTCGTTAGATTGGGCAGGAGTTTTGGAGGCTTTTTTAGATGCCTGACTAACATCGGCGTCTTCCTTCGGTTGACGGCTGGTCCCATCGTCTCCAACCTGCAATATTTCCTCGTCTAACTCGGTGTCCGCCGATGGCGAAGACGCTGGCGCAAGCATCTTTTCAATCATTGTGGTGTACCATTCAGGCAGAGGCAGAGTCAGGGTTGCGGGCCTCTCGAGTGGAGTGGTGCCGAGGTCGAGCTCGTAGATGTTGGAGCACTCGTTTATTTCGGTGAGTTGTGGATCAAAATGGTGTATTGGGTTAATCAAATCCTTGCGGATTTGGATGGCCTTAGAAATGCACCAAGTTTTATAAGTGAACTTAACAAAGTTGTGAATTGATTTGGCACTAGAAAATTCCTGTTTTCAAACCTTCCTGGTGGAACAAAACGCTTAAAAAATGCTGAAACTTCAGATTGGAGTTGGAGGTTTAACATTGAAGCCTTTGTGTACTCCATAGACCAGAATCCACCTTCCCAAAGCGCAAAAAGTTATCAGCATTTTACAAAGAGTTATGCAGAAGAGGTACTCATTTGAATTCAACCAGCATTTTAACTGGTCATGGTTGACACTCGGAGCGTGTACGCATCTTTAAAGTGGATCGTTCTCTACATCGTTTGGGACGAGGACGTCCAGATTCACAGCCAACTGTGGAATTTGTGTCAAAGAGGTTGTGATCATCCAATCATAAGTATCTTGGCTATATGTGGCATATTCTGCCATAATCTCATTGGCTTAAACGTAGCTCAACACCTTCAAAACAGTTTGTCGGTCTTACGTTATACTATTCAGGCGAATATAGATGTTTTAGGTTGTGTTTTTTACATAACCACATAATTTCCGCAAGTATTTAAAGGATTCAGTGGTGCTTAGATGTTGTGTCGTTGTGTGATTAGACTTAACATGTCACTCTGCTACACCCATTGGTGAATTTGATGCGGTTACTACATCACTACAAAATGCCATGACATACAGTAAAACACAGTGGAAGTATTCACATAAAAATCGAGCAAAATAGCAACGTTGTGAGCTGATACTTGAATGATTTGCAGTGCTGTTAGGGGATTTCGTGAGAAATGATTTGGAAAATTGTATGTTCCATACCGCATGATGACAAGTCAAAATGTCGAATAAGTAAGACCAAAGACAAGCATTGCTTAGAGAAGGCAGCAAAGAAACTACAATTGACAAACCTTGAATGTGGATATTCGAGTGTCCTTGAGGGACAATTTGGGTATCCGGACACTGAAGAGAGGGTGCAATATTGGCGACCGCAAGAGGCCACCCTCAGAATCAAACCTCACCGTCTCTGAGGGCGTTCCGATGACGATAGCAACGAAATCGCACAACTCGTCCGCTTGGAATGCGATGCCCCCGATGAATGCCGTCGCCTTCTTTGCCACGTCGATTGGCGAGACGGCGTCCTTGGCAGCCTTGATGTTGGCCTCGATGTCAACAGGGCCGCTTTTGTTGGCTGGCTGACCCTTGTTACCACCCTTCTTGTCCGCCTTGCCGCTCGACTTGCTGCCACCGTTTGCCTGAGCAGGCGCCGCCGCGGGGCTGCCAGCAGTCGAAGGTGGCGGCGCCGGTTTGGCCTTTTCGCGCTCGCTGAATCGGGCGGCGCTGTAGGCCATTTCACGCATGCGCGATGGCCACTCCAGGTAGTGGATTGTCGGCTGGATTATCTTCAACGGGTAAAATTAACTCAATACAATTCCTCAAAAGTAAGTCACAATTTCAATTGATTAACACTTAGTTATTTAAACTGGTGACTCAGTCCTACACGTCTTTGTGAAACTGAGAAGTCTAGTCAGAACCCGCTTTACTATTAAGTTATGAATCTTAGAATTTTGATTCGGTCTATATAGAGGAGGTGTTTGCTTACTTATTACTCCATCATTAAGCAGTATTCTGCGCTCATGTGCGACATCAGTACATAATTTTGATCTGTAATCACCCTTATTTAAATGCAGTGGAGTTTAGGTTTTAAGCTATTTATGTGAGTGTTGATGTTCCCGCGAGGGTCAAACCGTCTTGCTGCTTCTTCTTGAACATCCACTACGAATCTACTGGATTAGTCAGCACTACTGGTTAGCGCATTTTTCAAGTGGAACCTAGTCACTAAATGATGATTGTTCGACAGACTGCTTTGACCAATGTTTCATTCCTTGAGAATCAGGCATGAAAAGTGACGGCCAAATAACAGGGAAGAAGCAAATACTTCAACATCCTTTTTCAGAGTCCATGAAGCCTCTCCTAGTTTGGACTGCAATACGAACACCGATCGTGAGTCCAGGAGGGGAGCGTCAATCGAGACGTAGTCCACTGCCTTGGTTCTTTCGTGACGCCCACCCTTCTTTTTATCTTTCTTCTTCTTCTCACCAGCGGCGGCTGCCTCCTCTATAGAAATTAGAAAGTTGCTTATGAAGCAGCCCACTTGTGCTCGAACCGGGAGAACAGGTGATCAGACTAAGTTTACCGTTAACATCAAATTGCATTTGAAATCATTTTTTGAAGCAATTAGACCTGTCCAGGGAAGGTCAAGGGATCCTAATCATTAAATAACCTCAAAATTATTGATGTTGGAAAAGTGGATATTGTCTCTACACCTGGATCACTAAAAGCAAAAGGTCATTAGGTGAAAAGCATGCTCTACCTCGTAAAATAGGCGGTATATGGTTCCTCAGCATCACAGTGCCTTAATTTGGTGCCAATAAAGAACATTAATAATTTAGTAGGTGCATCACCATAACCTTCTTTCCTTCCTGCCTCAACGTGCTTAAATCCTTGTTGAAGACTGAAAGTAACTCTTTAATCTTTAATTTATAAGTGGTAAGGTGTGATTTGGACCTCGGTTATAGCTAACATAATTAAACGTGTACTTAACAGTAGCTAGCTCAGTTTTATCTTTCAACTTCATGGCGCTGCAATGTATCATAGTTTTAGTTTCAACGCCTGCGTGGCTTACTGCTTCCACACCTTGGCGCTACCAGCCCGTTTCCAACAAATGGACCATGTCTACCAACGGAATCCCGTTTTGATTGCATTCAAGGAAAAATTTCAACAATCTGAGGTGACGGCATGTCCAAGTGAATCCGGTGTGCCTTAAAAATTCATTTATCAACCAACTTGCGAGAAATGCAAAAAAAATCCGACACTAACTTTACCTGCTTTTGTGTGTGTACATTAGAATCCCCATTTATTTGGGTGGTGGTGGGCTTTCACAATTAATCAGCACTAGCCCTGAATTAACACGGAAGAAGTGGTAGGCCAGGACTTACGATTTTGCGCGCTTGCCAGAGCGTCTTGGCCCGCGTCCGCGGCTGTCTTCGCTGCAGCCCGCGCTGCCGCCTGCATTGCTTCAACTAAAAGCAAGAGGGCACACGTGGAGAGCTCTGGACTTTTAACGGCGTGAACTCAGCCTACTGGCTTGCTTACTAACTAAACACCATGACCATCGAAAGCCCAATTCCCTTCTATTACTGTCATTATGGGATACGCATTATCCACAGGCTACAGTTGGTGGATTTTCGAAGATAAGTATATATGACTGATGAGCAGTGCGCGAGCTATTCTGTTTGAGAGTAGCCCTCATACGGCAGCTTAAATTCAGCCATGAAGGAGTGGTCTAAAAACATGACACAACCACGCACGTGTCTGGGACCTTCGAGGCCCTGAAGTTAGAATTTAACGACTTAAGTAGTGGTCTTTAGTGGTCACGAGGAGTGAGCGAGGCACTGTGAAACTATGAGCTGACGAATTTGGGACACGTAGAAATGATCGCATTGTTCATGGGTATCACTGGCAGAATTTATTGAGAAGGCAGATGCCACGAGATCTGTGACATTTTAACCGAAGATAGCCCCAATACTCCATCTACCTGAGAACAATTAGTCAGTTGAAAGCGTCAGCATTCAAAAGTGCACGCTGTGAATGGGTAAGCCTTGGTTTCATGTTAAGAGCCTATCACTTCACTAAGTTACTTGTTAGGGAAGCCAGTAGCCTCAATTGTTTACACAGCTCCCCCTAATCACGCTAATTCATTTGGTCTCCCACTGACGACTCCCATGTGTGCTAGTTCCTCTTAATCCACAAGGTCAAGGTCACTCGCGTCATACCCAGGCTGTTCGGTATGACATACCACTCGGCTTTTGACCGAGACTGCAGTTCCTGTGTTTGTTATTACCTTTGAAAGTTGATGGAGTTACAGAGTCCAAATGGGGTGGCTACCAAGTCTACACATGAACTGTTATAAATACCACGCACTGGGATTTTACAGGAAGTAGTTGACGTTCGAACGTGCCCGAACCGGTGTAGGTTCAGTAAATATGCACGCAAGTGCCTTAACAACCGGAACTTCTGTTTTTAAGACGAAGAGTTTGTAGGGGAGTGACTGAGCGTTTGTCCCTGTTTTAGTTGCCTTTTGGTCCAAAACTTGGCCATGAGCATTTAAATAGGTTTTTGTCAGAGTAAACGCCCAATTTCGTCAACATCGTCCCATGCGTCATTAAGCTTGGACATTTTAAGTTACAAATAATTAATGGTGTGGTTATCTCTTGATGTGGCAATTTACTCGATCTAGCGCTTTGACTCTGCTGAGTGACATAAAATATGCAAATTACATCGAACTACATATTGACTTCACACTCATTTCATAATGTCTTTAGGTGGGAACAGTGCCACATTGCCAACATTTGTCTCTTGCGTAAGCAATCAGTCAAAATTCCGAATCTTGGAACACTGGTGAGCAAACATCTCCGGGAAAATACTAACAAACCGGATGCTTAATCCTACTGCGAATTTCAGAAAAAATACCAAACGATGCATTGTAAACCGAATAATAGCCGACTAAATTTACAGTAGGAGATCTCCTATTTTGGTAATTATATGTAAGCTGCGTTTCCTGACACAGTAAATAACATTCAGCGTGGAGGCAAAACGCAACCCACTTTTAGCAGCCAGCGCTTCCTTAACTTTACTCGTGGCCTCTTTGGTGGTGAGTTCAATCGTCGCAGCGTATGTAAAGGGAATAAAGCAGCGCACAGGTTTCCTGAGTTTGATTGGATACCACAAAAATTGGACGTCACTGCCAAGACGGAGGTTGGGCCCCAGCCAAGGACACGCGTAGGACCTTACGGCGGAAGGCAAGGGGGAGGAAATGACCTTCGACTTGCCCCCAGTCGCAGCTCCATGAGGGATCTCAACACGAGCGCCTGACCAACTCAAGATCAAACCACCCTTTTTCTTAACAGCAACATCTGGTCGGAGGTTGAAGACGCTGTAAGTGAAGAGGGGACTGTTGCTCAACTCTGGTCACAAAATAATGAATTACGTAGTTGTGTTTTTGCAGAATATAGAGTTTCGGGAAAAATAAACAACTCAAAACGTATGCTCACTCATTTTTAGTTTCTCCATTTATAAGGGCGTATGTGGCGGCCACTTGTCCCTTTTTCGGTTTAGGCATTTTGGCAGATGGATCCTCGTGCCTCTTTTTCCAAGTGCGTACTGACCTACGCGGTGTTTTGGTGGACTTTACCAATTTATTGATCGACGCAACGTGGTTAGCACGTTTGACAGAACGCATGACAGTCGTACTGCGCATGAGGCGATGAAAGCATGGAGAAAGGCATTGCAGGAAATTGTTGTCTTTCATCACCATGGCAATCAGCGTGATACTAGACGAGGCACACTCAGCAACATGGGCTTAATGAAGGGTGGGGAGAAGGACGCTGGACTAGTTAAAGCTACCTCAAACGACGTAAACGAAAGACCGAAGTTACCAGTAAGATTCTTATTTTTATGCAATGAACACGTTATTAGATTGGATTTACCAATAATGGTATTGAGATTGTGCTACATTAATTATTTTAATGCAATCAAAGCCATGCGAAGGCTGCTAACTTCTTTTTGGCTACATTGAACAAAACGTACCAGTCTGACTGGTCTATGTTAATTAGGCTGGCCATGTTTAGCGTTGCCGATTGTCCTGTATAGAACCTCAAAAATTGTTCAGCGTACTCGCAAACTGGGGTCTAAGGTAAGGAGGCTATTCTGAAAAACAGTCTGGATTATTTGCGCTTGTACTTGACTCATTGGCCTTCATACTTTATTCAAACTTGATTTATCCGAAATTCATTGTAATAACAGGGTAATATTGCTAAATAAACACCTGTTTACTAATGAACCGAGAAAGGAAAAAATAACCACGTTAAACGTTTATTGACTTATTTCAACAGTGAGTTTTCCATTGCACGATAATAACGTCCCCGCGCTAATTGGAATCCAATATTATTGAGAGAACTGAATGGAACTTATCGAGTTTGTTACATCGGCCACCAATGACGAAGCCGATTCACTCTTATTTCAAATGATTCACTTGACAAAAAATGAACGAGGTATTGACACGCCTGGGTGTAGGAACTCCGGGCACTAACAATGGCGCTCACTACTGCTATAAAGCTTATTTCAGCGACTACACTAAATTTCAGCTCCAGTCAAACTTGACCAATCTACAAAAATTAACCTTGAACCACCGCCCAAAGGTGTTAAAGTGGCTATTGTTCCCCGTATCCAGATGCTAGAGGTGTCTGCACAGACTTCCTTTTCGATCAGACCCTCCGGTCAAGCAGGGCAAATCTATTCGTGGTGCGTAAGGTCGATTCAGAAGCAGCCCCGATTCCTGAATAATTTATAAGTCCTTAGATTAAGACCTACCACAAAGCTCGTCTTCCGTTTCGTGATTTCTGACAAAAAACGTCCCCTTCCCACTTTAAAAACGAACTTACTGCACATGTCAAAATTCAGATAATCTGACCTCAGACGGTATCACCAGCATAGTACCGAGACGACACGATACCGACTCAACACCCCGCATCACAGCAGACATGCAGAGAGCTAACATCTACGCTTGGTTGTTTCGGCTACGCACACAATGGACTACGACCAAACGATTTAGGAGGCGGGTCACAACACTGAGCACCAACACCTCTCCAGTACAACTCACACTCGAAACCAAACAGCCCCTCTGGTGAGTTTTTGGGTCTCCTATGGGGAAGGGGTTAATGACCGAGACTAACGGCCTCCAGCATAATCATTCGCTTTAGAGGTCACCACGATGTGTGCAGCGTTAGCCACGAGTTTTATGACACTCGAACACGGTTTCATGAACTGCCTCATGGACACGGAAAACTTGACCTCGACCACGAAAAGTGCTTTGTCCAGCGACTTAAATAAATAACGGCATCTCCTTATGGTCCTAGGTTCCTGGATCTAAATTCCCAGTCAGATAGTGGTTAAGTTATTCTTGCTGCCAATTGCCTGTAAGGTGTCCATCTAAACGTACCAGATCAAAGTGAAACCCTATTCAGGCAAATAGAAGCATTTTAAAATGTATTTATATATTATACAGGTGAGAGAATTTTAATAAGACAAACGCGGTCTCCATTGGGGAGAAAAGGGAAGAAGGTCTCTGTATTTTCCTCATACAACCTTGTATCGACCCCGGTTCGTTAGACTGCTATTTGATTGCTAAAAAATGAGAAAGAAAAACAGTTAGATTGAAACTAATTAAAGAAAAGTACACACAGGTCGTGGCTAGTCAGACAGGAAATCACAACGCATACAGGACAAGCACATGTCAGCGCGGTGCTGGCTTACGACTTGGACAACATGGCTATTCGATGGACAAACTTCCCCAAATAGTAGGAACTACTGCCTTGCTATATTGAATGATTCAGCATTCTCTACTTAACCACGACGGGTTACTGTGAGAACGCCTACATTTGCTAAGCGGTAATCTCAAACACGCGAATAGAATCGAGAAAACCCGACACCCGACCAACCTGATCGTCGTAAAACTTCTCCGAATGGACACTGCCTAGTATTTGCGCAAAACCCACGAGCATTCAAGAAACCATGTAAAGCTCTGTGAGTGCATCCAAAACGAGAGCTCAACAGGCGTTCATGTTAAAAGGGTAATGGAATTCACCAGTTTGACAATTTCCTCCTTAATGATGCGCATAATCTCGGTTTTGGCAAGCTGGATGTTGCGCTCGTTAGTGGCCTCCAGGCAGAGGTAGAGGGGCCGCTCGTCGGCCGAATCGACCAGATTGGCCTTGTTGGCGCCGGGCCCCTTGCCAGGGGGGATGTAGATGCCCCTCACCGACACACCCACGTCGCAGTACTCGTTTAAATGCAGCAACATCTCCCGCCCCGTAATGCGCCATCGCACGTTCTGCGGAAAGTCGTTAATCTCCAATTCTTCTTCGTATCTAGAAAAAACAAGGAATATGACTTGATATGCACTAGCATCGCTGACATACGAATGGAGGAAGCATTCACCACCGGCGACGTGGTTTTCGTGAGTGCCATGGACGACACAACTCAAATATAACAACCCTGATGGTTGGTCTCCGCAAATTAACCAGTTGGAAACTGACTGAGGCCTTTTTGGCTCGGAACGAGGCGGCCACATTCTAATTTAGGCTGGCGGACTTGGTTCGCACAAGTGGATTTTGCATTCGACTTAACTAATTCAATCCCTCATTCAACAACGTGGTACTGCATAAATGTGGACTGAGGTTATGCAAATTTAAATCCGGACAGGTGCTAATTGTCTATCTCGAGGCAAAATGCGCGTGGAGTACAGGTTTATGTGACCGAAATGAAGTCGTCTAAATTATAATCAACACTGTCAGACGGCGGGACTTGGTGATTGTGGTTCAAAACGCATTCACAAATCGCGTAAGTGGTTCGCAAATTTAAGAGAGGCGAACATCATTGGATGAGTCAAATTGGTGACTACAGATGAAAGCTATACTAGAACTACACTTTAAATCCTACAACTGGTAATAATGGTTGCTAATTCACCAGATAAGACGGCACTGCTAGGATGGCTGTAACTGGAGTCAAGTCGCGACTAAACAAACGAACTTTCAGTAAGTGGCTACCAAGGTTAGAAAGCAGCTCAAAACATGTTAATATGGAATTCATATACCACAGAGAAGCATGGAAAACAATGGACATTTGTTTTCGAGTGCGTTTGTTGTCAAGTCCCAGTCATGCAGTGCTGGCTGGTAGAATTTACATTAGGGAAAATGCAATTGTAAATAGCCCGATCAAGTGAACAGCTGCTTTAGAGTACACAACTAACAATTACAGACACGAAACCATAGCGACTTGTCCCAAAAGTTTAACAAGCAGAACATTGTTAGAGATGTCAAATTGCAATTAAGTAGTACCGAATAAAGGGGCGTACCTTCTCACAAAGTCCGTCGGGTTAGTGGCACTACCAGAGCCCACACCCTCACCGTCCCCGTCGCCATTGGCGGAAGACTTTGAGTAGCCGAGTTTGGCGTTGAGTCGCTCGGCGGCCAGCTCGGCAGCAGTGCGACTGGCGTTCGAAGCACCACCACCAACACCTACGCCACCGACACCACCACCGAGAATCCCGCCGATACCGCCGAGCTTTGAGGAGGCGCCGATGCCGCCTTTAAGAGCGACCTGATTCGCCTTCTGGCGCGCCAACTCCAGCTGCGCGGCTATTTTCGGATCAAGGCTGACGGCGCAAAGAACAACAGTTCAAAAATACTTTCTTGTGCAAGAGTGCATTCAACAGACAATATGTTTTTTTTTGCTTTCCATGAAAATGCTACAGCAGATGTGATTGAGGTCTTGAAAGTGTGACGCGTACGGAGTGTGCGGTTTATAGGTTTTCATTTAAAACAAATTCCAACATTCAAGGAGACGCCAAGTAGACAGTGAGACACGGCAAAGCACTAGTAGTATAGAAGTTATTATTTCATCCATAACGTAAATACATCAATTGCCATGTGGTTTTAAAAAAGGATGAACGTTAGGACGGAGCAGCAATGCACACACAAAGCACAGTTCCAGCAGCAAAAGCCGGGCTTAGCCTTTTTAACACGATTTAACCCAATTTGGCTGGTTTTTATGAGTCAAAAACGTAATCAAAGGTGCGATCGCAGAGGGAAGAAAAGCACCCGATAAAAGAAGTGACGACGGCAACAGATTTCCCAAAGTTGGCAGCAACGCTTGCAAAAACCGTGAGGAAGAATGAGGCAGAGAAGCAGATGTTAGGGAAGTGGGATGCTAAAGGTAGGGGGTGAGTGGCATCTAAATTACATAACGACAAACCGCAATGGTGGAATCAGTCCAAAAAACTGTCCCCCCCCCCAGAAGAGTACAGAGACACTAAATAGGCATTTCGAGATGAGTTTGTCGTGGGAAAGGCAATAAATAGTGGCAAAGTTGACTGTTAAAATAGATTCATGCGTTATAAGTAAAAAAATTTTTACATATTTATTTGAACACCCAAATTACTCTAGGACAAATTTTGTGATTAGTTAGCCAAGAGAGTTACAACCCGAAGCATGTATGGCGCCTTGTTGTTTAAAGAAATCTGGGCAAATTTTACGAATAAAATCATGTTTTCACTTGAGAAAGCTTATGAAACGCAAAACAAACCGGGGCAGCCGCTTTTACGTCTTCTGGTTTAAGGGCAGATACAATGCAAAATACACAATACTTCACTCAAGCAATTGACTTTTGTTGAAGTTGGCACGGACTGATCGCGCATTAACATGCTCTACTGCTTTTGCATAAGTAGACATTTAAGGGAAACTTAGACCTACGCATCTGACGATCCGCCTGGTTGTCCAGTGCCATCTGCGGCCGACTTGGCTACATCAATGACTTTGCGCTTGGAGCTGAACATGTCCTCAATTTTGCTATCCCAATCGACTCCACCGGCACCACCGCCCTCGCCACCCTCATCGTCTGAGTCATCGATTCCGAGAGCTGCCTTGGCAAAGCGTCGCTTGTCGTTGGCCAACTGAGCCTCAACCTCGTCGAAACGGAAGCCCTTTCCACGGAAACCCGAACCACCGCTGTAGACCTTCTTGCCTTCCTGGAAGGAAGGAAAACAAACACTAAATTAGCATCGGGGTAGATGTATTAAACATCGTCAGCAGCTCAATACTCGGCTGCAAGACGTAACTTCCACACAACGCACTCCAATTTAGCCAGAATAGCCAAAACAATGCAGCAGGCGGTAAATCCGACCTCAGTATGACAGGTTTGTTTATCGCTTGGACGCGGACGAGCGAAGTGGTATTCTATGACTCTCAGTTAGCACACTTTTGTTGGGAATCGTGTTTATTCAACCCCTTGATCCAATCGCTCCACCTCCTACACAGGGTCCCCTTTTCGTAGCATGTCGCCAGCCGCGCGAATCCCCAATTCCCCCTTCATTAGCACGAATATTTATCCAGGAGTATCCCCACACCTAGGTCTCGATGTCAGCGCATCTATGACGCACACATCCGAGGTATAAATACACACGCGCAGACCCCACACATGACACAACGACACCAGTTTTGGTTGAGTTCTGAAGTAAACGGCTGTGTCCACGTCCTCCCCGATCTTTTTCCTCATCGCGGGTATCAGGGAAACGTAACCAGGGTAGGAGTAATTCTGTGGCCCCGGCGTGGTTCAACTATGGACTAGGGTGGGAAACCGACTTACAGCTGTTTCAACAAGCGTCAATTAAACGGCAAAATTTTAGAAATTAAAGGAATTGTAAGAGGGATGACGTACCATCAGCATGCGTTCCTTGTAAGCCTGGAACATGAGGTAGAGATCCTCGGGCACCATCTGACCGCTGACATTGAAGGCCTTCACCAGGTCCGCGGAGTTCTTCTCCTGGTCGGGCGTAATGAAGGTGAATGCGACGCCCTTATTGCCTGCACGACCAGTTCGGCTGAAAAAGCAGGGACTTATTTACCTTGGTCCACTCGTAAACAAATAGAGCATTACTAGAGACCAAAGTAAGTACCAGCTTGGGTTACGGCTGGCAAGAAGCGACCACCAAGCAAGGCTCATACTGGAAGCTTGCACCAACAACTGCCCACTGTTGTCGTTTCCAAAATCCCAAAGTTAGTTTTAAAAAACGACGACCATGGTTTTTAATGGAAATGACGAGGTGCAATTTTTAAAAAAAAGTGGATGATATGGCGAACCCACAAAAAATGGCTAGAATGGCCGCTGCACAGGTCGCATCAAGAGCTTGTGGTGCCATCACTCCCTTTGATAGCCAAGATTTTGATCCATACCCAGCGTCTCACGAATGGACCTTCAGAGGTATACAAGAAGTCAAGCTTACCCACACCGATGGACGTAGTCTTCGTAATGATTCGGACAGTCGTAATTGACAACAAGCACTAAGTCTGCCACATCCAGGCCCCGAGCAGCTACGGAGGTGGCGATCAACAGGCGGATGTTACCCCGCTTGAAGTCGGTGATGACGGAATCACGGTCGTACTGGTCGATGCCACCATGCAGTGAGAGGCAGGGATAGCCGTAGTTCATTAGCACTCGCATCAGCTCGTCGGCGCTCTCCTGCTTTTCGACAAAAACAAGAACAGATCCCTGTTCCTGGTAGATCCCCAGCAACTCGAGCAGCTTCATCACCTTTTCCTCCTCTGTCTGAAGTACCGCCTGCAGATTGCACAAAAAAATTACCTTACACTTCTAGACGGAATAGAGCTACCGTTTTGGGGGAAGAGTTATGTACCATGGCGCTCAGACGGACATGAAAATCAGGCAGGTGAAGTGGAACTATACAAAGAGATGTGGGAGCGTGTGTGGCCACAAGTTACGTCACAGAAGCGAGGAATGCGCAAAAGAATGCATTAACCTGAACACTAAACAGTAGGCATATTATCACTTACGACTTTCTGGGTAACATCGGAGCAAACAACTGAGCGGCCTCCAACCTGCACCTCGATGGGCATGGTGAGGGCTTTTCGAGCGAGCACCTCCATTTGGCGGGGAAACGTGGCGGAGAACATGACTGTCTGTCGGTCGGGTCGGCAGTTGTCAACAATGCGCATAACCTGCGGCTCAAAACCCAAATCAAACATGCGGTCTGCCTCGTCAAGCACCACGTAAGTTGTCCTCCTGAGGTTGGTTACTCGACCTACACACAAACACACACAGAGAAAGAGAAGAGGTACACAATTGGAACTGGTACCAGGCAATAGTGCCCCGAAGCCCTCAAAATCAATGGGATACACGCAACAACACCAACCAGAAGTACTATGGTAATTCGACAAGGTAGTTACTCCAACCATCAAATTGTACAACATGGGCTAAATATCAGACTGGGTGGCTTTGCCACACTTCCAAGCAACCATGTGATATTCGTTTAGGTTTGTGGAAGAAAGTAGAATGCTGAGGTAGCTACTGCATCAAAACAGAGCAATGCTACGGATGGAATCATCCTCTAGGAGTCAAGTTGCCAAAGGACTAATTATATTATTGGGGCATCTGCCTCATCAAAACAGATTAACGAACTTCTCACCTCCAGCAAGTAACGTGTCGGTTAAGAGGAACGCAATAAAGCAGTTTTCATGTGACATCCTGTTACACATATTTTCCAAGCGATTTGCATTTACTTAATTGCTGTTTAATCGTTTCTGAATTGAGAAAGTATTATTCGTTGGTGTCCCATCATGCTTCTGTTACGAAACTAATTCGCCTGCTCTTCCAATAAAAAACAAAACTAGAATTTGAACAAGCACATACCCCCATTGGCCGCCAGCATGTCAATCATGCGTCCAGGCGTGCACACGATAACCTCGGCGCCTCTCTTCAGGTCAGCGATTTGTTCCGATATGCCCGTCCCACCATAGACGCAGACACAGCGGAATCCGCAGGTCTGGCCCAGCCTCTTGGCCTCCTTGTAGGTCTGCAGAGCGAGTTCGCGAGTGGGAGTCAGCAGGATAGCAATTGGCCCATCACCCGGCTCAAGCGGTGGCTGATGCTCCAAATGACGCGCCATGGGTACAAGGAAGGCTAGCGTCTTGCCGCTGCCGGTCTTTGCTATCCCAATCATGTCACGACCCGACATGATCACGGGCAAGGATTGACACTGGATGGGCGTGGGCTTCTCAAAGCCGCTCCTAATCAGTGAAGGAACAAATAACACGGGGATGGCATTGCAGAGCACAAACGCGACAAGCTAGTACAAAAGGAGCAAGACCTGTGTGTACCTCAAAACGATGTTGCTGAAATAAGCACCTGCTTCAAGCAAACTTGATGCCCCCCAATGAAGATGGTCAAACGAATTTTCAAGGATGTCGCAATGTGGCGTCACAGCCAAAACGCGGCTTTGACAGATTTTAAAAAATTAATTTGGTTGAGACTTGGAACTTGGTTGACGAGTTCAGTTTAGGCTGCAACTTGTGCGGCAAGTTCGCCTCATTGGCGGAGGGCTATCGAGTAAGTGGTTTTAAAAAATCTTGAAATTGTGGTTTTTTTCCAGCAGATGCGCACACTACCTCAGACCAGACCAGCACTCATTTTCGGTCGTCTTCAGTGGACATTTACGAAGAAATTGATTCAGGTGATGACAAGCTCTAACAAAACCGATTTGGCAAAGAGCCTGGCCGGAATTTTCGTACTTTTATTCTACCTAGGTTAGCCATGACAGTAAACGCATTGGTCATGACCCCAGGTATAAACTTAAAGGAGGGCATCTGGCCATTGAAAAGAGGTATCAAAAAGGATTGCTTTAAAATGCAACAAGAATTTGGATTAACGTGATCTATATAACCAAAGCACAAAATTTAGGAAAGTTTTAACAAAAGACAGCTTTGTCCTAATTAATGGGTTTGTGGTCAAGTATTTGTCCAGTATAAAGGCCACACAAAATGAACAAAATGTAAACTAACTTTTTCAGACAGTTCAGGAGCCGGGCAGAGATACCTGCTTGCACCCAGGTTTTGATCGGCTTGGGACACTCTTTACCCCTAACATGGATATTCTCTAACTCCTGTCTGTAATTTTTCACCTGTTCCTTGGTCATTTTGGCGATTTCGGGCACCTCAACGTAAAAGTTCTTGGTGAAAGGTTGGTAGTCAATTTTGCTGTGGTCGACGGCTCCCAGCTTTTCCCTCTTTTGAAGTTGCGCCAACGCGTCTGCGATTGTAACCCTCTCCTCCGGCTCGGGATACTGAAAGTCGAAAGGCAAACTCTTAAGTCCTTAGCTGATGTTTCTTTTGAAAATCTGACCGGTCGGTTATTGAGTTACTCCAGTTGGGCCATCATAAATGTAACTGTTCTTATCATTAATCGTCTACTTACGTGACTCACTTGATTACTCCTCTTACACAGTGGCAGCAGCCTAAGTGAGCAGTCGCCCAATCTAACATAGCAATGTGGCTACGTGGAATTCTAGTACCTCTACGTTAGTTTAGCGCATTTATGCAGGTAGAATATTGTTATCCATGAAAAACTGAAAGTAGAAGAAATTTCGAGCTGTAAGCTAAATAAGTTTTGATGGATAGAATACCCTAAATGGAAATGCACAATTAGGAGAGAAGTGGCATTGTTGTTTCATGAGCCTCTTGAGCACATTACTTTTGATTTACTTTATACTTAAGCACCAGGCTAGTATAAGTAGAATAAAAATTGACCTGAATAAACATAAATTTACTTCCTGCGTCACATGATCCAAAAAACCATTAGAGAGAGAATTAGTGAAACTTACATATGGCATATCAACATCCTGCTCGTCTTCATCAAGAATTAGCTCGCCCCTGCCAGCCTTCTTCTGTGACTTTAAATTTTCCAGACCAACATCTGGATTACCGGCTCCCAGCTGAGGATTAGTGATGAGTCCTGGTGCTTGAATGAGACCGCCAGGTGTTTGAACCAACTGAGGGACGGGAATGACATCATCAACTTGCTGGTGGGCCTCCTTACTAACTTCCTACAACGATGGGTAAGTATAACACAAGTAGTTAAAAGGGTGATGAGAATCACTGAAGGAGTGTACACAGGCGGGACCAAGGCAACATAAGAAGGCTACTAAATAAAATTATTACTAACTCACCTGCATGTATGCATCAAGAGGATCTATTTCCTCTTCCTCATTAGTGGCACCATCCTCCTTGGCTACCGAGGGAGGGGGCACAGCATCGTCGTCGTCATCGTCCTCTAGTGTCCATTTTTTGAGAGAACGCATTTTGATGCCATCAAGGAGTTTGCTGTGGGCAGTTGCTACATCCTGTTTGAGACGTTTCTCACGTCGCTCTCTTTCGATACGCTCACGACGCTAAAGGGTACATGCGTTAAAGGCCAAAAATAAGTTTAAATAAACAAAAAATCCGGTGCCATACAATAAATTTACATTGCTTCGCATTTTTGAACTGAACAAAAGCACTACATTAATATTGTCTCATAACGCGGTTGGGGTTTTCAGTGTTCTTGACAACCCAAGGTGGTGGAAATAACAAACACTTAGTTGCTCGATAAGATTTCCACTAAAAATATAGCACATTTTTCGAATACAACATCCTCGTAACCTTGAACACTTGGATGACAAGTTACTGTCAATTAAAACCACATTAGTAAGAAGCGTTATCAAAACTATAATCCGCTAATGATGCAAACATACCTTCTGCATTTCCATTTCAAGACGCTTTTGCTCGGCGTCTTTATCTAGCGAACCATCAATAATAAGTGCTCCTTCAAGGGCTGAAATAGGTGTGCCATTTTCATCTGTCACCTTAGATTGAGCCGCACGGATTTGGGTGAGCGCTGCTGTAGCGACAGCCGAAACACGGTCGCTTCTTGATGAACCACCATCCTTCTGAGAAGCTGCCGCCAGAAGAGAACCTAGAGAGCTAGAAGATGAGCTCGCAAGACCTGAGCTACGACGATGATAATTCCTGGGCGAACGTGAACGAGTGCGGGAGCGATCGCGTCTGCGGCTTCTGTGATGACGGTGGCGACTGGAGCTACGTGAACGACGTCGTCGTGACGAGCGATACGGGGATCGATCACGAGAACGATCACGTCTAAAAAAACAAAGATTGCTTTGATGGATACACATTATCTCGGGCTACACTGTTAACTCCGACTATGTGGCTGGCTACAATTATATGGCTTAAAGAATGGCGACTTTAAAAAAAGCCTTAGTGCAGGGAAACCACCAGTGATCTGAAAGTATTTCCACACACATCCAACCGTATTTCGTGCCATGCACCAGTTTCTAAAACGATTGCAAAATCGGAACCTTACATTGACCAGTCATCGGCCGATCAGTTTTGCAGGTAACCATGAACTTTCGTTGCCACCGACAGAAGCAGGTATCCACCTGTGAGAAAACGGTTACTTTAAACCCCATAAAATTAGATTTAAAAGGGGAATCGCAGAGAGGAAACTTAAATAAACTACAAAAATACTCACCTCCCCATGTCCAAAACAGATATCTTTGGCGCTGGAAAAATAAGGCAGTTAAAACAATCGCTGTCTATTTTGATTCGATTAGATATACCTTGTTAAAGATACCTCACTCGTTTAATGAAAATGTAACTCAAACCTTTGTTTTTCATTAAGAAAAATAATTCCAGTAAGCATAGTCGTTAAAAGTCTAAAAACAACATAAAGTATAAATATTTGTGTGTAAATGGGGAGCTCAGATTGTTAAGGTATAAAATCCCGAGTCCTCGTCGACGTATGCTTTTGTGAGTTATGTCAGTGATTCAATATATTTCTCCGCATTTATCAATTGCAATATACAATTATTTTGCTACTGGCCATTTCAAACGAAAACATGCTGAGTTCTACAGTTACGTCCCAATCATTTAAATATCGGGATGCATTTCATCAAACGAGCACACATGAAGGTGAAGTTTATTTGACTGAAGGATTTGAAATTCATCTGAGAGTACTTAGGTTTGCCCAGTACATGTTGAATTTTAGGTATTTAGGCTTATCGGATGGAAAATAACAAAATGAAAGAGTAGCAGGAATTAAACAATTGTTATTTTTGGATATATTTTATTAAGACAAGGGTACATTTTAATAAAAATATGAGTGTGTTGACGATTAAAAAATCTTTACCACCAAACAAATCAGTTGATGTTGACTCAACTCCGTTTTTAAACAACCGTCATCTCTGAGATTTGAATTGCGTATGGCTCAATTAATAAAAACCAAGTAGTAGCCACAGATTTTTTAAAATATCTTACGTTTAGTAAACTACCCAATAATAAATAATTGAAGAAAATTGTCAGTCTTATCCAATAATTTTAATGTCTGTTGGCCATCCAGAATTGTAGAACGCTTGCCATCACAATTTAAAAGTCATTATAGAACTGTAAAGCCGCTTTGTGCCTATCAAAATAAACTGTTCCTTATGCAGAAGCCACATTAGCTCAGAATTATTTTACTCTAGCCGCCAGTTAACCTTTTAAAGGCTGCAAACTGTAAGATGTTGATTACCTGTAGGTTGTTGTGGGGACTCTGTGTAGGAGGTGGAGCGACCGGATCAAGGAGTTGAAGAAACACGACTCACAACAAGGTGAAGTGACAGTTCTAAGTTGGTACTTTACCTCCAACATTGTGGCGCTTCTACCTATGGATTTCTTTTTCCTAGTACAAACTATGTTAAATAGAGTACACTTAGAATTCCATATGTTTTTAAATATTGTGAATTATCTTTTGGTTTTATTTTGAAGCAATTTGTATAGTTTTGACTGAGTTCTTTGAGTTTTCTTTGACAATTATTATTAACAGATCATAACATGTAAAATCAAAATATCCTTATTTTAAAAGTCTAGTTCATTAAACTCATTCGATTAACGGGCTCTTACGGTAACGTTAGACCCGATGTTCTGTGTATAAATAAACCGGCATGGATTATACAAAAGGAAAGTTAGATGAGCTAACTGTGAGAAAAAGTAATAATACAAACTTATAACGATCGACTCATTCGTTTGGTTGCCACTATAACAAACTTCTTACCTGTTCAATTGGGAGAAATGGTTCGTCTACTCCTATTACCAGGGCTAGAGCTGGGACGATTTGTGTTAAATTACGGCCATTATCATTGTCAACGCGTGTTTAAATCCATTGTTACTTCACCCATTTCGTGTGTCTATCTAGCTCTCTGTCACGTGGTCCTTTATCCTAAGGCGTGCATGTCTGCGAATGCACCCGTTAGCACATATTTCCATTATCGTGTCCTGACTTATCGATTAACTTGTCCACTAGCTCCCCTACCTACCCCCATCTGCGTAGCTGCTTGACCCCATTTATCATATAAATCGCCTGACCTCTACTGGTTGAGAACATTAATAGTTATTGCTTCCCTTGTGAACCTCCGCAATTTATAAGCAGCAAAGATGTACAAACGCATGTATACTCGCCTAATAAGTGATGAGATCCTTATCATCTCTTGCCTTTTCATTCCCCTTGAAGAATCTATGTATTGTAGCAAGATCTCATTATATTTGTTTATTTCCGTTTGGGTTTAATTCCTATGTCTGAGCGTCAGCAACTCGTGGAATCCAACCTATCATCGAGCTTAACCCGATCCTTGAACAATTCTTCGTTCTTGAAAATCGCGTTATCGCGTTCGAAGATAAACCACTAATGCGCTCTATTATAGTAGCGATATTATGTAGAGCAGCTGACATCTGCATTTTCAGTTTTATTTGACTTTTGGACGCCTTGGCTGCCTTGTTTCCATTTGCGTTAAATTTTTTATTCATGGATTTCTAATCTACTCCAAAAGTTAGCAGTTTACCATTAGTTATAGCTCAGACAATGTCTAGGCCAATGTCTTTATATCTATACAATTACAGCCAGTATAAAGAACAAGCATTTTGTGTATTTTGTAGGATCGTCTATGACTTATGGCCCATTTGGAAGGGGGCCTTACGTGTTGGCGTCGATTGTGATCATGAATTTTTAAGTTTTTATTGTTTTAGAAGCATGCAAAATGGAACAAAACTATCTGGAAATTTGGGTTCAGAATTACAAATTATATAGATTTTGGTGCAAATTCTATGTACTTCCTAAATGACTTGTAATTTTTTCTGAGATGAGATGTAACTATGACAATTTATGGTGAACTGCGAAGTACGTTCCTAAGAGCTGCAATCCTGAGTGCACATACTCAAACCTACATCACCAAATTAACCATTTCGAAGTCTGGGGTAGCATTTTTAGCGATCTCTCTTTGCGAGAATTGTGGTTGCTAAAACATTTCGGTAAATGCAATCATCGTTGACATAATCTAAGCACACCTCGGTGCTTTAATTAGTGCCAATCACTTTAAACGCTCCGACACCAGCCGATCGACTGAGGTAGGTTCGATGCACAGTCTATCCGGATCACTCCGATAGCCGAAGACAATCCCAAGTGGTGCGACAACTTCATGAATGCACGGAATTATCGGCCATTACCCAGATCGAGTGGGCAGTGCATCACTCAAATCCCATCCCGTAGACTAAGCGCCTTCACCTGATGCTAAAGGTGACCAGTTAAAAAATTTGGTTTTGTCACATTCGTGAAAGTTCAACAACACTGGTTAAAGGTTTGTAGACTATCGTTCTACTTCATTAAAGACCTACTATTTTGTGATTTTCGGAGCTCATTACACTGTGTAAATTTGGGTTCACATGCAAGTCCGCATGTACCCAAAATAACCTGCTGTCAACAACTTCGCGAACGCACTGTGTAAGCGGATTTGCCAAGACAGAATTCATACGTGGGGAGTACCTTGAACCACGTTCCCATAGTCTGTCACATTCCTTTTCGTTGCATTTGTCAACATCTTTCGAAAAAAATCCCCGCCATAACTGTTCAGCCGACCAATAAACAATTCAGTCCAAATGCTTTTTTTAAGAAGAATGCAAAGCATTCTGCATCAAACCATGTACAGAAGAATGCTAACATTTGCAGGTACATTATTTGTTGCGAAGTTACGCTAACAACAAGTGACTGACTCAGTTGGAAACTAGGATGAGAAGATATTTTACGATGGATAAATTTCGTTTCGAAAGTTGCCTAAAATTAAAATCAATGTCAATTTTTACAAGTACTTCGCTTAGATTTTAGCATTTTAACACATCTTTACCGATATAATGCATTGTACCACTCCTTTAATTCAAACATTATCAATCGAAATTAATGGCTGATCGCTGTCTTACATCGGTCAGCTCATCGTAATCTTGTAAATTCTGTTCTATTCTGCATCTACATGCAATGAATCGTGTTGATTCACGTCCAGCCTTGCACAAAATTTCCCCTTTTAACGGCTTGCCGTCAGTCACTGGGACAGCCTGCTCGTTCACCCCTCTGTATGTACCACCAACACCACCACGCGCTCGATCCATGTGACCATTCAGATGTCTGTATTTTTGCTACTCGACATAACTGTATCAGTCAACACAACACAATTAAGTGGAGTTGTCTTGTAAATGGTTGTGCCTCGTCCTCTCCTCTCTTTCATCTTCGCGGGCACTCGAGATAGCGTAGTCGGCCTAGGTTGACGCAGTGGCCTCGGCGCGGTTCAAAATAACATGCCGGGGCCCTCAACATACCTAAATGCACATTTTAGTTATAGCCCATAAAAAGTATCTCCAACTTTTCAGTATGTGAAGATGTGCCAAACACACGCAGGTACAATCAAGGCTGTCCAAGGACGATTTTCCTCCTCAAATTATAGCCTCGGCACTGCTTAAACCCAAAGTACGACTCTTCCGTAAAGTCATTTTGTTATCTGTAGGGTATTGCACGCAATTCTGGCCTAGAAGTACTGTCATGCGGTTTTTACAAAAGGAGAAGCGGAGTGGTGTGACGTGCCTTCGCATTGACCAAGCGACCGAACTGACCACCCTCTCCGTGCACGCACCTCTTGTTTCCATTCTTAGCAGGCAACGCCAGCCCCACCCACGGTGACTGCTATTCCTGGCGTGTGAATAGCGTTACAGGTTCGTGCGTGGGGCGATACCTCGAAAAACTGAGCTAAAGGATTGTACACTCCTAAATCTAAGCATGTCTAATTAAACTTTGCGATGCCTTTATAATTGGTGGTCGAAA